CACCAGAGGATGCTAGAGAAAGTCCTTGGAGTCAGGAAAAAAGCCATAAACACAGCAGTGAAAAGCTAGACTTCTGATAGACTTAACTATCTTAAGAAGGTGATCAACTTTCCCAGCAGCTGGAATTCTATCATGGAATTCATCTGTGCTGGGGCAATTCACTGTAAATTGGGTGTGAGGCAGTGGCAGTCCCTTAGGAGTCACTGAGAGCAGAAGGCTGGGCCAGGACCGTGACTGGCATGTCTTGCAGCTACTGGGCTTGCTTCCTGTCAGCTACTCCTGTTCATGTTTTACCTCCCTCTTTCCCTGTAAATTGGTGAGATTTCCATGATTTCCTGAGAACCTGGACTCTGTAGATTATTTTGGTAGGATTCTGAAAGGGAGTTCAAGCTGATGAGTTTTTTTCTGTAGGAACTTAGAGAAACAGAACTCTGGCAGTAAGTGCTGAACATAAGGAATACACAGTTTATATGCTTGTTCATATTTAAGATTATCTGTATAAAGAGACAAGCCATAGTGTAATTTTAATTGCAGTTTTGATGTCTATGAATGCATGACTAAATAATTATATTGGAATATTTCTTATTTTCTTATTTTGACAAAAATGCAATTTATTTTCCACCCTTCAGCAGGTCTCCCCACTCACCACCAGCAGTAGTGTTCCAGGAAACTTTTTGTGCTAAAAATAGAAAAACAAAAATAACAATCCAGAGGCAGAAAGAAGTGTTCTCAAAAATATCTTTTCTTTTTCCTAGAGGAATACAATTAACATAATAAAGATGATTTTAAGTAATCTGAGAGTTTTTACTAATACTTTAGAAGTTATAGCATTCTAAATTATTTTAACATTGTAGTATTCTACTAATATGCAGTGAGTTTCTGGCCATGGTTGTTAGACTCTCAAGTGCTGAGATTTTCTGAAAAATATACCTTTTCAAGATTTGTTAGTCAGAATATATTCCTTTCTAAAATAAAGTTTAATGTCTTGACGATGCCTCTTTCAACTGTTCCATTATATCTGTTATATTACTTACATAATTTATGTAAATAATATGTTTAGTTACTTACATAAGGTATGTTTTAGGACCTTAGCAAAGTATCTTTCCTTACTAAATTCTGATTTAAGTGTTTCAGTTAGTACCTCTTGATTTTTTAAAAATTACTATATCCTACAGGATATTCTATGTCCTGTTTTGTCATTTGGAAAAAATTATACAATGTTTCAGACAGTTCTGGCAGAATATAAACACCTTTTTTGGAATCAATTAATCAATTTTTTGCTATTTCTTGTAATGATCAATAAGATTCATGCTGTGGTTTGCTGCTAAGAACGTACAATATCCATATTTCTGGCTGACTTTCTGTTAAGTGATCAACAATGAGAAAATCCTCAAGTTTCCATTTAATTTTGTTGCATGTTATCTCAATCAGATTGACAATCTGATTAAACTTTGTCAGAAGCACTTCATACTGACATAATTCAGTACAGCCCCTAACTTCTTAAGAAGAAAAATAGCCTTTCTTTCTTTCTGGCTTATTGACTCGTTTTTGTAATGGCATCAAAAGACATCTTAATTTGCTTGTGGGATATGTGACTAATAGAGTCATATAATAGAATACCTTTCATCCCCAATGAAAACTACAGTATGAGACTTCATTGTTTTCTCTTGAAGAAATCGTTATGTAATTTCAGTACTTACCGAGATGGAAGATGTTCATTAAAAATCTGAGTCTTGCTTCAAAGCTTCCAAGCCTCAAAGTCAAGTTAATATTTTCTGTAGAAGTGAAAAGCCTATAATATATAAAGCAGTTTGAAATTAATTTACATAATGTAAAATAAAACTACTTCGGAGAAGTGCAGACTTTTAAAAGAATATGAAAATCATATGGCTTTGTTTGGTGAAGCCTAGCAATATATTGCATTAAAATGCCTAGTAATCCCCATGCTCTAATAGGTTTGTTACATACCTGGATTGTCTTTAAGGAGTGCTGTTTTCTTATAAGCACACACATTGTGAAAGGTTTCATAATGACATTTATACATTTCATAATTTGACATTTCATAATGTTTAATAACAGTTTGGGTAAACAATAAAACTTCATAGGGTAGTTTGTGAAAGAAAGAACATGCGGATACTTTCTTACCTGACTGTCCCATAAATTTGGCGGAACAAAATGAAATTATTTAAGAGGAAGTAGCTGGGCTTAAGAAAACAGGCATGGCTGTGGTGCTTTTTTTTCATCCTTCAGCAATACCTAATTCTATTTTGGTCCTTCATATTGTGCATCCGGCCTTAGTAGTGGCTGGTTGTAGTGTCTGGGATTTCAGATAAGCTAGCAAGATATTAAGTTTAAGATTTAAGTAGCTTTTGGCCTAACTACCTATTAGTAGTTACTACATTGGTCTGATTTTTCTCTTGCTGTAGAACCTTGTCCTTAAAGCATTATGTTCTGGAAATTTTAAACCTGAGGCAGACAGATAGAGAACGTGTAACATCTGAGAATGCAGATCACCACTTTGTCTGTTGGTTGTTGTGGCAGAGTGTCCTAGAGATTATGAGAAGGGAGCAAATCTCAAAAAGGATGAAAACCAGCCCAAAGCAGCCTCAAAAAACAGTGTGTGTGAGGTGATGTTGAAACTTTATTCATAACCAAGACGTTGAATTCATTCTTGCACATGGGAGATCAAGTTTTCTGCAGTACCCTGTAGTGGCTTGTGCTTGGATTTAAGAGAGGACTGAAAAATAGCATTGTCCTAGGTGGACTTGTCACCTATCTGGTGACACTACTGCAAGAATTTGGAGTAGCCGTGTTCAAGTCAAGTGGGGCTTGCTTTGGAGCTTAGGATTTTTTTGTCAGCGACCAGACAGCTGTGTTTTCAACACTTTCAAATCAAAATTATCTTCTCTTCCTGTAATTTGGCAGTTTACTGCAAACAAGTGTTTGGTTATCTTCCACATGAAGTGATTAAGAGGGTTTATTATCTAGGAAGTTTTTTATGGGCTGATGAAGCACTCACCATATGCTTTTCAGTGCAAGAAAGAAGAGTAGAGGTAGTATGGAAATGAAAGAAATGAAACAACAACAACAACAAAAAAATGGACTAAATATTAATTTAACCAGAAGTGAAGGAAATGATGCACCAGAAGAGAAAGCAAAAGAGAGTTTTTTAGTTTAAAGGAAAAAGATCAGGAAAGATGTGGAAAAAAACTTTCCATTTGAAGCTATAAAGCCAAAAGGGCAAATGGTCCCTTGCACCTGTTATGAGCAGAAGAATAAAGCTCGTAGCTTGAACTCTATCAAGGATTATGTAGGTGGCATATACCTTCTGCAGTTTTTTCTGTTGGATCTTCTGTTGGTCTGACAGACCCACAATATCAGTATTATGTTGCTGCTTGAAGGCATTTTCAGTTATGCCTTCTAAAATTTAGCTCCCATTCTCAAAGCAATTCTCTTGAAAAAGCTGGTGCTCTTTCCACTAAAGGCTCCAGAATTATTGCCAAAATTAGGAAATTGATGGTAAAATTTAGCCCCGTATGGACAGAGCAAAGGCTATCTCATATTTAGGTCTCACTTTAATCCACAAAACAAGATTTCTGTGAAGGGTAAGCCTTATTCTAGGTTCCATGATTCCACAATAATTTTCTCCATAAATTATAATGTGAAGACTCCATATTTCAACTGTATTCAATCCAGTGTGATGCATAACTACAAAAAAAAGTAATTTTCCTCACTTGAATGAATCTAGCATTAAATGTACTGACAGTTTATTAGATACTTGGAAAACTACAGAATTATGCAAATACTGAGAATAATCTGTTTGGAACCTTTTTGTTTGTTGAGAGTACTTTACAGGGAACCATTACATAAAGTATATTTCATTTGCATAATTATTGAACAATTCCTTAAAGAGTAGCAAGTGCTCTACTCAGACGACTTTGCTTGACTGAGAGATCCAAATTACTGAAAGATTGCCAACACCCCTCTCATTCCTTTATAATAAATTCAGAAAAATTGCTGTACCATAAGAATTAAAATTTTTAATATGCATGGTTTTAAATACTGTATGTACTTTTCTGATGGTTGAAGGTGCTAAGGAAAAGAAAAAATTGAGTTTGTATATAAAAGCCAGAAATAGCCTGTTTGTGGAAATGAGTGATAAATATAATAACATACGATATACCAAGAAAAATACCTGGTTTTTTGTCAAAATTTACAAGTCTGTACCATAAGGTTGGATTAAGTTTCAGTCTCTGTAGGTAGCATTCATTTACTTACATGCTAGTAGCAAATGTTTTCTCATCTCATATAGATTAAGTTTTGTTTTAGTGTATGTAATATCTATATAATATAAAGGTGACCTAAACCTACTCATTTGTCATCTGTGAAAACTTTTATGCATTATCATGAGAAATTGTCATCTTTCCAAGCTAATGCAGCATTTTTCATCACTTTGTAATGAGTGTAGGGTTCAGTGTGTGTGTGGTAGTTCCATTATGATAAATGCTCTTATCTAAGGCCTTGCTCTTCCGGATGGCAAATAAATGAATGTTTTCTTCTGTGAATTATGGTATTATATTTCTGTTGTGCAAATCGTGAATCCCACTGATGTCCACAAAACTCTGTTTTACTGGATAATCTGCTTATTCTGAGAAAGGATATAAGAAAGCCTTCCTTGAGAGTCTTCAATACTATGAAAGTGCAATGTACATACTCATGGGGATTGACAGACTTAGTTCAGTGCTCAGGTGATGCTTCTCTTTTGTTGTGCCCTTAATATCAACAGGCTGGATGGCCCTGTTTTGTTTGATGTTCTTTTTTATTTTCCTGGAAATGACCCCCAGAACCTGCACATTCTTCAGAATGCCTTCTGGGCAGGCTTTTCTCAAGTTATGAAATGGAAAGAATAATTCTTTCAGCTGCAAAAGTGTTAAAAAATATTGTTAATGTGGTATTCAGTCACTTTTATTTTGTTGGTTTGTGTTTTTGTTCTTTTCCAGGATTACTTACTGCCATCTACCTTTCCAGAGTAAATGGCTTTATGTTGGAACAGAGAGAGGAAATACACACATTGTAAATATTGAGTCCTTCATTCTTTCTGGATATGTTATCATGTGGAACAAGGCAATAGAACTGTAAGTGCAGATTGATTTTTTTTTTTTCATTTGTCTGTGTGGTCATTTTCATAGCTGTCTTAAATTTAATTTTTAAGAATTATTTGGTTTCACAAATATTACAGTGAATGCATTTAATTTCAGTGAATGCATTTGCAGTATTAACTGGTTTTTTAGAGCATATTAGGAGTCGGATTTATATTAGAGACCATGCAATTGTATTTCATTTAAAAGGAAAAAAAATGGTGTACTGTTTAACTATTAAGTTCCAAGAAATACAGGAAGTCTTTAATCACTAAAATTCAGATTTTGCTGTTTTTATGAGGAAAGCCTGATCACCATGTCCTCCATCCTGTGAAGAGAATAATGGAGGATATTTGCCCTAAGACTCTACAGAGAACTTTTCTTCATTGAACAGTGGAATCATTTATGAGAAGGGACAGGAGGAGGTCTCTAGACCAAGCCTCCTGCTCAGCACAGTGAGAATCTGAAGGTTAATTCAGACATGATTAAAACATGATGAAGTGATAGGAAAGATAATGAGAACCTATTAAATTATATTTTTTTAACAAGCTAAGCAAGGTGCCTGTGTTGTGGGTATGAAATGGAAAGAGACATACAAAGGACTGGGATATATCTATGCTTCCTGCAAGTAAAAGCCTCAACAGAAAGGAAAAACTCTTTCTCTGCTGTTTCCTCTGTGAAGTTCCAGCAAGAGGAGCTTCTATGGGAAAGCTCAAAGTACTTCTTGCAGATTCTGAGACATTTGCTTCATGTTGTGAGGGAACTGTAACCTCTGGAAGCTGTCCTTGTAAATATTTTGCAGGTGGACAGGGGATCCTATGTGTCTCCAGATTAATTTCTCTGTATTAGAGGAAGAGGCTGGTGGGAATAATGGCGATGTTTGCCACAGCAGCCACTTTTAAAAATGCTGCAGTCCATCTGAAGCTGAAATTGGGTGACTCAGTAAAGTAACTTGAATGCTCTCTGGTAATAAACTCTGATGTCTGTTCCAGTACTGTTGTATTCCTGCACATAAAATGGAATGTAGATTAGCTTTTAAAGGAAATGTTATTACCTTTAAATGTACTTCATGAGGATGAGCTTATGATTGTAGACTTTCCTTTAGAATAGTACTGAGAAAAATGTTTGAAAGAACGGTTTTATTTTGGGCCATGGGTATATTCTGATTTGATTATATTTTTAATCTCCACATAATTTTTGCATATTTTTAACATTTTTAGTATATAGAATCATAAAATAATTCATGTTGTAAGGCTTCTGTAGAATTTTCAAGACCAACTTCCTGCTTACAGTAAAATCAGGTTGCTCTGGAGTGTATAAGTTCACAGGGTCTGTTGATGTTCAGTGCTTTCAAAGGTGAAAGAAAATAGGAAAATATATGTATGTAAAATTCAGGAAAATCTTCAGCCTTATCATGAACAACGTAAGGAGCAATGGTGCTCATAACATTATGTTAAATTCTGAGTTAATGATAACATTTCAGAGTGTGAGGTTAGCTTGAAGATGTTACTATTCTCTATAAAGCTTGGAAGGAAAGGGATTACCTTTTGTGCAATCGTATGTCTTTCAAACTTATTGGCAAGGAAAGACCAGCAAAAGCCATTGCTCTGAGGCTCTATTCAAGTCCTCAGCTTAGACGGAGGGTTCATAAATAAAATTTTAAGTGTGTCAAGCTTGTGTATCATCTGCTCTAACAAGCCTGAAGGAGTTCATCCCTCTTCATGCAATTCTCATCCAGTTTCTAAAACTGAAAGTCTACCAGCAAAACTTCTCTTTCTTTTAATTGCCCCATCTTACTTTTCACTGCTTTGTATCTACTTCTAATCAAATCTCCATGTAACCCTCATCCTCAGAAACAATTGAATATTTTGGGCCAGCGAGACCTATCAAATGACTGCAAGATTTTTTTGTCACAGCGATTCTGTTGCAGTGAAAGACTGAGGTGAAAAGGCTTGATAGTGTGAAGACTTGAAGGGGAAACAGGTTTAGATGCAACATTTTTAGATTTTGCATATGGTGCAGGAAATCTGATCATCTTGTCCTGCACAGCTACTTGTACTTACCAAGTTGGCATTCGGTGCAGAGGGCTGTTTTTGTGATTTTTCTTGTCTACTTATGTATCTGCAAGATCTCTAGAGCACTATTTTTTTGAGTGATAGTGGTTTTGTGCCACGTTCAGAAGCATCTAGTGGAGATACATGTCAAAAAGATGATTGCAATACATATTTTATCATAAGTGACTATGGTCTTCTCTTAGGAGAGAAGATTCAGTGAGCTTAAACAGAATCTAGTGTTAGTTAGAAATTAAGGCCTGAACAGCTAATAATGCAAAGGAAATAAAATTTTTTCTTCAGTTCGTTGGTTTTTTGGGGTTTTTTTGTTTGTTTTGGTTTGGTTTTGTTTTTTGGTTTTTGTTTTAGATTATTTTCAGAAGTAAGTTTTAACCAATTCTGGTTACAGGAAAAGTTTCCTTCTTAAATCATGTGCACTGTCTGTGTCTCAGTGGACCCCTTCCCTGAACAGAGCTGAGAGAAAACACAAGCATGTGGGTACCAATTCTTGCCTCAGATGTTTCTATCATCTCATGCTTAATCAATACTTCAGGCCACACTGAAGCAATCTTCTCAACTAAGAATGAATAAATCAAAACTTCTTTCACTTGTCATTTCTCTGTCATGTAGCAGAGCTAGTCCTTTGCCAGAGGGGTTTGAGGCTCATGAGACTGTTTGGTTTTCTACTCTTTAATAAGCAAACAGTTTATCTCTTTTCCTTCCAAATGTTTGGAAACAGCTTTGTAAGAGAAAAATAGTCAATGAGCCCAGCATGTCTCCATTTACTTCAACTACAATCAGATCAATTTTCTCAGCATGATCATACATTTGGGAAGCACATCTAGTGTTGGAAAGGAAAAGATCTTTATATGTGTCCTCTGAATTACAAAAATAAAAAATCTGCATTATAAGCCCCCAGTAAGATTCCAGTGTTTTAACACCCCACTACCTAATGAATGAATAACTGAAACTTGCCAAAATTTATGGGATTTGAAGGATTAAAGAATTGGGCAGACTGGAACTCAATTATGACAGAGCCATAACTTGGCTCTCTCCTTTCTTAGCCCTTCGTTTGCCCATCCCCATCTCCTAAAATGGAAACTCAGAGCCAGTAGATCCACAGCAGTGAGGGAAAGCAGTACAAAGGAGGAGAAGTAACAGTCTGGAAGAATCTGCTACCCTCTCTGTGTGCAAATGGAGAAAGTTATTAATACAAAGAAAGCACAATTTTCAAGCCTTCCTTTCTCTGGACATTTCAGGAAGTATGCCTAAGAGTTACATCTTGAAACTGATTCTTGCTTACTCCAACTCCCAGCTTTGATCTACATCATATGAAATGGTGTGTCTAACTTATTCATTCTCTTAAATTTCTCTGTGGCTCTACAAATGAAAAGAAGATCTTAAATTTCGTGCAGCACTGCACCTTTATGGCAGACAGAACGGTGAATGATGTCTGACTACTGACACTGGAGAAGTATTTGTCTATGTATGTGTTTCTTTCAGCACATTCAGTCAACTTCAGCTTCATAACAATGACTAATAAGGATGTTTTCTTTCTTTTTCCCCTCTCCTAACTGCTTCTATCACTTTCTAACACCAGTTTTTTTATCCTTCTCAGAAATAATTGCAGTACTTCTCCAGTTGTGCAGGCTATTTTTTCTTTTAAAAGGAAAATGGTTTTGATTTGATTCTATTTTGTCATAGCATACTTTTATCTGCTTTAAAGATTGTCTTGGTATTTGATGTTCTTATGACAGTATTTAAGTCACTTGATTTCTTAGAGTGCATAAAACATTCCAGGATGACTGAGGAATACATCATCTGTGTATTTTCCACATTTTGATGGGTTCAGATTGTACCATTGCTGAAGATTCTTTTTGAGCTTTTGAATTTTAGGATAAAATAATCAAATAAAAGCTTCCATCCTTACAAGTCTTTTGAAAACTGTTTTATGATGACTGCTGTCTTAATTTCAGTGCAGTTCTTCTGAGTAAGAGTCATGTCTTACAGCATAACCGCTCTCTCATTTCCCCAAATGAGTATATACCAAATAAATTAATACCTGCTGCTGTCAGGAAAAACTTCTGATGAAGTGCAAAACAACTCAAAGTATGAGTATCTTCATAGCAAATGCCTAGTTTTAGTTCTATACAGCTGTCATGGGAATCTTTGGTTCCATTATTCAATTCTGCAGTCTTTTTTTTTGTGCTTAAAGGTCAACAAAGATTATGAAATGTTGCAAAGTTTTGTATCATTAGCTCATACTTTTTCTTGCTCTGTTGAAGTTAGCTTTCATTTCAGAAATTTCTTACTGCAAATCATTGCTGATAGTTTTTAGACTTGACATTCTTTTTTTCTTTTTTGTTTCTGCTGAGTATTGACTTGAATTTGTGTTTTATCCTTTTTGTGTCTTTTCAGAGCTTTTATTTTCTCATTCTCAGCTGTACCCTGACTGCTATTTGGAAATGAAAAATTCCCTGCTCAACTATTTCACTTATGCCTTATTTTCACCTGCTGATTCTTCTTTATTTTTCATTTTCTCAAGAAATAGGATCTAGTTAGTTTTTATGCAGCTCCCCAAGGCCAGCTTGAAGGAATGCCTGTACACAAGTGTCTGTCATCAACAGTAGAGTGCTTTATTCACAATAGCTTCAAATCTGGTTGGTTTTGCAGCACCTCTTCATCCTTTCCAGGAGCTGTTAGATCTCTGCGTTTCCATTTAATATAATTCAATGGCAGGGGTTTTTTCTTTGTTGACAGTTCCACAATGACAGTGTCCAGCTCTCCAACCTTCTTGACAACTTTAATACAATAGCAATGAGGGGAAACAGAACATTTTATGTATATGAAAACAGCTTGAGGGAAAATGGAGTTTGTGTGTAGTTTGTGTACTGCATTTCCTCATGCAGTACAATTTACTGTATGAAAGCAGTAATTACTGTATCTGTAGCTCTGATTGTGTTTCATGGGTTCTATAAAATAATGTTATTGACATAATATAGTTACCTAAATAATTGCTCTGTTTCATCCTGCATGTAGTGCAGTCATGATGTCTACCCTCAAGAGAAATTGACTGTACAGCCTAATGTCTTGCTCTCCTTCTACAAGCAGCACTTCCCTAGGGCTCCAAAAGATATTGTTGTTATTTCTATTTATACATACCTTCCTTGAGGAGAAAAGGAGATGCAAGAAGGGAAGCACTGATCTGCCTTTGGCAGACAGTTCCTGGTCTTAGTGTGACACAAAGGATAAGGTTTGGGTTCCTTGCCACAGTCCTGTACCCAGAGGGAGATAACATCACTTCAGGAGAAGCAAACCAAAGATTTATCGTGTCACTCCTTCTGTATCCAGCCATCGGGCAGGCTCAGAGCAAAAACCAAAAGATCTTACAGAACTGAGGAAGCTGCAATGCTTTCTCACACAGCAATGCTTTCTTCCTTGCTCCACCTGAACAGGGATTATTTTGTGTCATTTTATCGTCCCAGAAACATCTCCCCCAAGATGGGACTGTATGTGTTCATCCAAAACCAAACACCAAACGTTATGCTTGCTGCATCTTGTGAATATTCCTCGTTATGTAGTCCAAAGAGGAATCAGTTTTGATGCAAATACTTTACTTGCTGTGTATAAGAAAATCAATGTTTCTTGGAGCCCTGGAAAGGCAGCACAGGAGGACTGCCAAGGAGTAGGCTCTACACTTCCAAAAAGCTTCAGGAATATCTCTTGTCACCTGTGTGTGATCTTATCTGTGATGGCACATTAGGTATATACAACTATTTGAAAAGGATCCTTTCTGCTTTCCTGACAGAAGTCATGTTATGACTGCCAAACTTATTAGACTCTCTACTTACTCTTGCTTCTGTATAAAGAAAGCTGGCCTCTCTCAAGCGATCAAGGAAATTGTGGAGGTTGGATCCCAGCTGGTTGGGAAATTTCCACCCAGCTGCTCTCTCACTCCCCGTCCTCAACAGGACAGGGAAAGAAAATAAGATGGAAAAGTTCATGAATAAAGGAAAAATCAGAAAAATCACTTACCAGCTACTGTCAATGGAGAAACCATACTTGACTTGGAAAAAATTAATTTAATTTACTGGCAGTTAAAATAGAGTAGAATGGTGAGAAACAAAGACAAAAACTAAAGCCACTTCCCCCTGAATCCTTATTTTTCCTAGACCAATGATGTATGTGTGAAAACTAAAGAATGGTTGGTTGAGTCTTTTGATGGAGTGGCATACCTGACAGTCTTAAATGTAATAGAAGTGAAAGAAAAGGAAGAAGCCAGAGCAAGCCAGGTGTTATACAAAACAACCAAATTATTAAAATAACAAGAAGTAAGGTAATATGAATACTAAGAGCATACTTATTTCAAATATAGAGGACAGACAATGAGGAAAACAAAAATCTCTTACATTTAGTGCATGGAATGCTGTGTTTGGTATCAACTTTGCTGAAAGTGTATATAAAGCTGTTATTCAACAAAACTAGAGAAGTAACTAGGTACATAGTAATTAAATTATAACATTCCTAAAAGAAACAAAAAGTGCCTAAGAAAAAAATACCCAAACCCTACAATATTAATACAGTGCAGTAAATCCCAGGATCCCCCAACTACAATGAATTCAAGAGGAAAATGGAGGAGTTTGGAAAATGTATTGTATTAGTCAAGGTTTCCCCTTTCAGTTGAGTTTTTAGCATGGAAATTGGAGGCTACAGCCTGAAGGAATATAAGATAAAAATAAGACTGGTAGTAAAAGACAGGGGGTTTAGTACCATTTACAGAGGAACAACAAGCCTGTGTGACTATAAAAGTATACTTAGCCTAAAGAGTAGAGGACAGCTCATGTAAGAGTTTGCTTCTACCCAAAGAGAAATTGATGCATTCTTTGGTAAGCAATGTCATATGTATCCTTCAATGAAACTGGTTGCACAGATTTATCTAAATGGTTCCTGGCTTTTACAATTAGGAGGTACAAAGAGCTGACTAAACTGAATCGATCTTTACCTTAGAAAGACAGTATGCTTTTTTCCTTTCTCCCTCCATTTGTCATGATTTTGCCAATATTCCTGGTCATGTACCAAGACTGGAATGGCCATGCATCCTGGTTGGTTCAATGGTTGGTTCAATGACCTGGGATAGCTGTCCAACCCATTGTGCTTTGTCAGCCTCCATGTGCTTCTGCTACCATTTTGTTTGTCCCCAGCTTTCTGGGGAAACACATCTGATGGTTGCTTGCCTCTGCTCTCTCTTATGTCATCTGTCTGTGATCTGGCTAAAAAGTGAAAATTCTTATTCTGTGTCTTCTCATCTTGTTTTTTCCTCTTGTTCTCCCCTTTCCTCCTTTGCCCATCACTGCATAGGCAGCATGTACTCCAAATAGACCTAGTTCTTTCCATCAAATTACTCTGACCTGTTCAGACAGGTGAATCTGTGTCAGAAACAACACTTGAAACAGCCTAGAATGTCCCAAGCTGTCACATGTTCTCCCTCAGAACAGATGTACATGATGTGTCTAGGTCTAAGCACTGCTTGCCAACAAACTCATCTAGTTCCCCAGTTCCCTGTCACTGTCTACCTATGCTGCCTGCTCCAAGGCCTGGTGTTGTCCAAATGATATTTTTATTTCAGTACAGGTTACTCAGAAACAGAAACTCAGCCAGAGGGGTCCCCTCTGTTAAGTTGGCTTGTATAGGAGTGACAGCCAAATCTCCTGCTATCTGTATCTCTGTAAAAATGGTTTTGTTCCATGTCTCAGGACAAATGGGTGCTTGCTGCTGGCACCATGAAAGACAGTCTTGAATATCATTGTATAAACTGTCTGTCCACTGCTTTCCTGCTGATCTCATTTCTGTGATGGGATATGCTCCAAAATGCTCTTGCAGAATCCTTGCTGGTGGAGACCTGGTGTAGGAGAATAACACGCTGCATGTTCAGGATGTCTGGAGTAATTTTTCATTGTCCTTAGCTCAGAAATAAATACCAGGCTAGATCTTTGCCTCTCTGCTTTGCCCCAGCTTTGGTGCATGACAAAATAGTCAAAATATTTAAAACATAATGTAGGCAAAGTATAGAGGTCAGAGAAGAATATGCATGCTTTTAAGAGTGTTGGAGCATACAGTTCTGAGAAAGAGAAACCTATGAGGCTATGGATCAGTCTACAGTGTTTTAATGTTTGAGTTGTCTGAGAATTTTTGTGACCACGCTCAGTCTTCATTTGGAGTCTGGCCTGTAGAACAGAGGCCAGTTTTCCTACAGTGCAGTATTCAGACAAAGAAGACATTATTGTAGAAAAATCCTTTGAGTAGTTTGACTGGAGAAGCTTGTTTTGGTTTGTTTCTGTAATTCTTTTGCAGATTGTTTTAAAACTTGGAGCCCAGGTAATTTTATGTATGCTTTCCAGATAAATTTTTCACTTTATGGGCTCTGCCAATCTCTGCTGTATTTTTTTCTTGATGACCTTTGGTGAACCAAGACCAGTTGTGCAAGTTCAGATCCTAAGCTGAATTCCAAGGGACGTGTACTCTGACCCCAGAACTTAGATGGGAGGAAGGTCCTCCTCTGCAGGCAATCAGTGTGGGCTGGTGCTTGTCTTCTTGTTCTTGATGACTGCCAGGGGCTGAAGGTCAGGTCAGAAAAGATGATAGATGAAAAACCTCCATCTGTCCAATCAGTTTCCTATGATTTGCATTTGCTGTCAGGTGCTGGACATTAATAACTTAAGTAATAAGTTGCATATGATGTGGTTGATACATGTTGTCAAAATGGAGGGAATTTCAAGTACAGTAATTAATTTCTATATAGGTTTACAAAGACTCACAGGATGGCTGAGAAGCCTCACTGAGCATGTATTGTGGGTGTAACTGTGTTAGTTGGTCTGAAGATGAGATAAGGCTTTACAGATCAGACAGAGGCAAGTTGCTCCATTTCTGAAACCCTGCTGCAGTAATGCTAAAAAGCTTCCTGACAGGGCAGTGTAGGTGAGGTTACTGAAACCCTTTTCTTTAGTGACATTGGAACTTGGTGAGTCATGCTGTCAGTATCTGAAATGAATCCAGTGAAGACTTTGTAAATCCTTAGCAAATTAGCCTTCAAAGGGAACAAGTAAGGAGGGAGGGTCAGAAAGAGATGGAATAGAGAATAGGAAAGGCAAAAAAGCTGTAAGAATGAGGGGGTAAATTACTGTAATAGGAAGAATAGTGAGATTTTTAAAAAATGAAGGAAGGATTCATTAAGAAAAGAGAATCTTTGCCTTTGATGGCAGAAAGGAAATAGAGGAGAACGTTAAAAGATACCTATAACTTTTCCTTATCCTGTTAGGCTTTTAACAATTATTTTTAAACCATTGGAGGTACATGTTAGCACACCTAGAAGCTGAGGTATCTAGCTCTTCTTACAACAAAAAACATTCACAAATTTTAATTGATTTTTGTATTGCAGATCCACCAAGACTCACCCTGGCCCAGTTGTACATTTAAGCGACAGCCCAAGAGATGAGGGAAAAGTGAGTACAGCCAATGGTATAAAATTCTGCAGCATTTCATAGCCTTTGTTTGCCTTGCTACTCTTTCCTTTTGCTGACTCATTGATTTTGTCATCTGCTTTCTTTCTATGTTTGCAAATCACTTTAACTATTTTACTGTTCTTAATTTAAAAAATATCTTTGCACAAATTTAATGAGTAAACATTTGTGATGCAGACAACTTTGAAATGTATGGCAAAGATAATGTACCTTGAAATGTATAGCCATCTAAATTGTTCCTGTTTACAAAAGTTTGACTTTGTATAAGTAAGGTTTGACTCAAAACTGTATCATGACTTTGGTACTTGGATAAACATGTGCTTATGAAGGCATTATAATAAGTTTTTATAAGATAGGAAATCTTTTCTTCTATAAGAATTATCATGATAATAACCCAGGTTTGGAACTTGCTGCTGTTTGCAATTCTCAGTTCTGTTCACCGTCCACAAGTGGAAGCCAAACATATAGTCAGAGCACTAGGGTTGTGACTGATACCACCAGGAGGCACAATCAGAGCTGGCTTTATTTTCATGGCAGCTTTTCAAAGATGAAATATGGTTGACAAAATTCTGGTTGTATTAAAGCTTTTTTTTTTTTAATGTGTTGATACTGATATTTGAGCATTTTGCCTGTGTGGAAAGGGTATTTAACTCTCTCATTGGTTTTGATCATTTTTAGTAATTGCATTTCGTGTGTACTTATAAAGTACTACATCTTCCAAATCGTGTATCTGTTTGACAGCATGCCTCACATAACAGCTAATAGTTGTTAGAAACTAGCAGCAGTTTGAATTTCTGATACTGATATGGGGGATATTATGCTGAAATTATGGGTACCTAGAAAAGCACTGATGACTGCATATGATTTCCATTTGCATTGCTTATCCTTGGACTTACCCGTGTTGCGAGGGGAACTATGCGCGAACAGTGCACTTGTGAGCCAACCCTCCAACAACTTCCACAGCATCTCTGAGCCTTTCTAGAAGAATCACAACCAGTCAAGCAATTTAGAATACTATCAAATAAAATAATTTAACATGTTGAAGTGTAGTGTTGCAGCCTCAATTGAGAAGCCATCGAGAAATGCAGTTTAATTATCTCTGGCAAAATACCTGGTGAGAATAAAGGTTTATTGATGACGCATCATTCTCATTTGCTGGACACAGCAGAAGCTGCTGATGAGCTACCTAAGGCACATAGTGTAGGAAAAAAGGGTACTAAAAAAAAAAAAAAGATCTTTCAGTGAAGATTTTTTACAGGAACGGCATGCACTGTGTCCAAACAGAAACTTAAAAATATTTTTCAGCAGAAAGGGAGAAGATGAAAAGGGCCCAGGCAAGAGAGTTAAAAGAGAACTGGCTTGGGAATACAAGTGCTTGTTGCTCAGAGGGCACATGGGAGACATCTGGGCACTGATGAAATACTAGCATTTGAAGAACAACAGCAAATTCAGACAAATGCCTGTGAAAAACAAACATTGAAAATTTAGGGGGAGAAGTAGTAGAAAATGTAAGGTATATTAAAACCATCTCAATGCAGCTCTTCATATTGTTGATAAGTTGAGAGTGGTGTAAAGAATGAATTGGTACAAACAAAATACTTGCAGTTTTGCAGAATGTAGAATTGATAGTGTTTACAGAAAGATATCAGTAAAAGGTGCACAGGTGTAAGAGAAGATCCAAGCATTAAATCAATAGACAGTTCTAAATTAAAAAAAAAAAAAAAAAAAAAAAAAAAAAAAAAAAAGTGGAGAAATAAATTAAACTGCATTTTTCAACTTAATCCCATTAAACTTTAGTTAAAGAATGCAGACTAAATCAATCATTATTCAGAATGAGGAAAAAATGGGGAAAAAGCAGCTCCTGGGACTTTTACTGTTCAACATGGTCATATATAGCCTAGAAAATAGAGTAAGCAGTGATATCACCTGGTTTTCTGGACTTCAGGAGGCTGAGAAACTCAGCAGTAAAATGGCAGGTCAAATACTGTCTTTTTAAGTATATTCAGTGTAAATAATGACAAGTGGTTCATGTAGGGCAAAATACTTCTGCCTTAACGTATAAAACAATGGGTGTGAGCTGATGATTCCTGTTTGGTATCAAGAGCTTCGAGTGATGATTGATAGTTCAATGGAAATGTCACTCAGCTCAATGCTCAGTAGTCAACAATAAAGAAAATCAAAATTAGGCATTATGCAGAGAATAACAGAGAACAAAACAAAGCTATTAAAGAAATGCATTGTTGACCTGCCTGCTGATTACTGAGTATAATGCTTGTCCTTCTGTGTCTAAAATGAACATAATGCTTAAAGAAATTCAGAGAAGGGACTGGGTTTTCTATATGAGAGAGAACTTAGTGAGACAGGAAAATTCACTATGGAAAAGACCTGACTGTGATTCCAAGTTTGAAAATCACAGTTTATATTAAGAGGATGGAAACAGCTCATAGTCTCTTTCAATACAAAAACTAAAAGGATACCAAATAAAGCTGACAGGTCAGGTTCCAGACAAGCCAAGTAAGTACTTCTTCAAATGGGCAGTGGGTAGAACCTATGAAACTTTTTCCAAATGCTGTTGTGTGTGCTGAAAATGTACTTATCACAAGGAAGACTAGAAAAGTTACCACAAAAAAAATCCATGTGAGGGTAACTGATGAGATTTGCTGAATTCTCCTAAAAGGTTCTTAAAGATGAGGTTAAACAGAGCCATGTATAGTTGAGGAGATGACTATACTTGAATGAGAAAATTACTTAGACTGAGAGAATATGTGAGAATGTTGCAAACATTCTTGTCTTCTTCCCATATTATTTGGTATTTGCTCGTGGCCATTCCAGTACAAGGTGCCGTCATAGGTAGACTTTTATTAATTTAGCAGAGTTATTCTTAGATAAAAGAGCTGTTTGATGGCAGTTCCACACACTTTGCTAATCTCCACAGCTCCAAGCTAACCAAAGACAACCAAAATGTATTGGAGGCAGAAGTCAGACTTCACACATCACATCATGATAGGCAGCAGATAGAAGTGTTCTTTGCATATGTTTCAGGAATTAAATAGTAGGTACAAATCAGTCGTAATCATTACTCAAAATGCAGGTGTTCTTGTACTCTACAAGACTACTACTCTACAGGTACTTTGCCAGAGTCCAGTAGTATAGCCTTCTCTGGGGTATTACAAAGTTGTTTACAGACCTGGGACTGTTTTGCTGAAGTAAACAAATATTTCTTCTATGAACACTGAGTGGTTTAGAGTCCTAAAACATAGTCAGACCTTTCCAAATTAGGACAAACATAAGAGCTCTCTTTGAAATCCAGGGAAGTTTGTTCTCTGGCAGTATCTTCACCTTTTCCATTAAGATCCGTTGAATTCTTAAAAGTTCCTGTTTCTTTCATTGACTGGTGATGGGGTTCCTTGTGTCAAAAGAGTGAATGCAATTCAAGATGACTTCTGCCTTTCAAAACTTCTCCAGAGTGACCTCCAGGCAAACTATCTAGGCAGGCTTTGGAAACAAGTCTCTTTTATGAATCTAACAAGCTGTGGCTAGAAGACAAACATCAAAAAGAATTTAGGCATTTAATGTGTCACTGAAGAACAAGTCAGGGACCAAGTGATTAAGTTCATGAAATATAACTGTGTCTGCCAAATCAATTAATAAGTGTACATTAGGGAGAGACTGGACTGCACAGACATTTATAATTGGCAGATCTGTAGCAAACATGATTTTTCTTGCTGACAAAGGAAAAGTCATTAATTGCAACAATCTGCAGTTTCCCAGCAAATGGAGAAAGCTTAATAGAAAAAGGTTTAATGTTATTTACAATTAGCTGGTGGGCTAAACTTCTATCTCTGAGTCTGAGTTCTGAGATCTAATAATACCTAAAAAACAAGCCTGTTTGGCAGGCTTGTTTGTTTGGGATTTTTTCTCCGGCTGTTTTGGGTTACCAGGACAAGGAAGGGGCTTGCTGTCATGTACCAAAATGTAATTAGTCAACTGTAAAAAAGAAATTTCCTTGCATCATCAAAAGCATTTGATGAAGAACAATATAAGTCAAAATGTGAAACAACTCTCCTAAACAAGGAAGATCTTGCCAGGACTTCTCTCTCCAAATTCTGTCCCATGTTCTGCTTTTTTTGTAATCTAATTAAGCACAAGTAGTTAAATGAGGTGCCACAAAAGTCAAGATAAATCTTCGGAGTTTTTTCCATCCTTGACTCTTTTTACAGATTCTGCTTTTCTTAGTCTAGGTTTTCCTCTCCAACTTTGTTTATGGATGTTTTGTTTTTTACTTCTATTACAGAACTAGAACTTGTCTTATAGATCTCCCAAGTGATCCCTATGACTGAGAGGTGTGGGAATGTTTGAGTTTCCTATGGTTCAGACAGGTCAGAATCCAGAGCATCAGAAATATCCTGACAATGAGAATAATCCCATTCACCCAAGCTGGAATTGTGGCTTTAGTGCTGTACCACAGTGCTGGTACTAAAGCAGCATGACTACTGTCTGAACAAAAAGAGACTTTCCTGGCTATGCAGAAAATCTCTTTGCCTTTTAATTTCTCCCCTGAAATCTTACTTTTTAACTTGCAATTCTTTATTGCAGTTGAGCATCAAGCATTTTAGCAATAGTTCAGGTGAAATGGGGCCTCTGATAAAAGGCACTTAACCTTTTAGTAATTACCTGGAGCATGATATATTTGCAAAAGAGAGGTACAAAAATCAAAAGGCAAACCTGCTTCCCCAGGGAAGAAAGGCTTATTAAGAAACAGGGCCACATACTAAATGCTTTTCAATTCCTTCACTTTTCTGAATATATTTGTACAAAAGCTGAGTGAAAAAAATACTGGTCGATACAAACTGAATGTGACTGGTTTGGTACCCAGCTGTAATGCACAGGTGCAAGTGCCTGCTGTGATGACAGTAAGGAGGGCACTCACACTCCATAACTTAATAAAATACTATTTATTGGAGTAAATACAAAAAGGAGGGTGATAACCCCAAGCTGTGTAGCACTGGATGAACCTCCAAAAAGGGCATGGCACCATTCTCTGTGAAGAGGCTCTTGCCAGCATTTTGGTCTTTGGAGATTCCAAAAGATCTATTTTTTTTAAAGCACCATATCCATTTCTACTGTCAAGCAAAAGGACGTTCACATGACACATGCTGGCTGACATTAAGATAAAGGCACAATGGTGCTGTCCTTACTTTTACCAAGTGCAAGAGGCCTACAAGGTCCTTTAGAATTAGCAGCTAAGTTTACCCTGCAGCCAAGAAATATGTGCAGCACAGACCTGCACCTACTCAGGTGAACTGCTATGAGCATCACTAACTCCCGGATATACAAATAGCTTCCATTTGGGATTGCTGTACCAACAGTGCAAGCAGCTGCAGTAAGAGCCTCCTTTGTTCACTATCTCAATGGCAACCTATTATCCCAGAATACCATATGGCATCCTGACACAAGAGCTATCCAGCTAGCTGCATGCTTTCTGACTCTGCCACAAAATCCCATATGGAGCCATCCAGAACAAAAATGCTAAATATTCTGTAATTTTTCCTGGACAGTTTGAAATTTTTTCAGGAGAATAATTATTCAGCAGCATAAGTAGTTATTGTTCATATTCAGTATTAAATATATTAACTATAAATTGTTTCCAGATTAGCAGAAGATTCCACATAAGGAATAGTCTCCTCTCAATAAAAAGAATGATATCCAGTAGAACTGAGAGTATTCCCAGGCTCTTTTGTAGCAGTATTGATGTATCAGTTATAATTAACTTGGAGAGAAAATGATGTTTTGTTTAGCAGCCCAGCCAAATTTCATTTTTAGTACTCATGCAAACTAAAGTGAGTGATAGCAAAGATGCTGTTAAGGTTTCTCCAACTAAGAAATTGTCATTATTCTTCACAAATTCTTTATATAGAAACTGTAAATCCTTGCCTGCATTCTGTGATATATCTGTCTACAGAGGATGAATAACTGCAATTATCATTGCCAGTTGTATAAAATATTCTATCACAGAACTGTAAGTCTGTCAGTTTAGCCATTTCCAGTCTTCATGTCCAGAACAGATTCTTAAGAAGACAGATTCTGTGGGAAACAGTTTCCAGGACACCTAAATAAGCTAGACATGATATTGTCCATAAGATCTGAACTTAATTGTGTTCAAATGAAGAGTAACTCCACAGTACCAGATCAATATTTTACTTATTTTAAGTGGAGACAAGGAGATATGATTGTGTTCATTCTTATTTTTCTCCTATTGTTTTTCTTCTCTTTCATCTTTTTGGAAATCTTTGCTGGTATTTCTCTGGTGTGCATGATGATATGAAATCCCAATTCTATAAGAAGTAGAAATTGACATATCAGTTAATTTATTTTTAATTATTTGGAAAGTGATTTATTCTCTGCTGGAGGAGTTCTTCAGAATGTTTTAAAGCAATAGCAAACATAAATAAAAGGAATATAAGTAGCTAAATGAAAGTTTAATCTGGTGACTCTCTTAGTTTGAAGTTATTTAGGTGGTATCTTGGGTGTCAAACATTTTTTCTCCAACAGTGAGCAGGGAAGGTAAGAGCTGGTAGGAACATGCTACAATCTTTGATTTTCAGCAGATATGCAATTGAGAAGACTGTCCAGGTGCATAATAATCCAGGGGAAAAAAAGGTGTATAAACCCTTTTCTTTTTCCATGTCAGATCTTAAATTGCCATCAATGTGGAGTAATTTATACTGAAAGATAATTTGAAATCAAGGTATTATGTGTAGAGCAAATTACAGTCTTGCACATCACTTTGTTATTTCTTTTTATATAACTCAATGTTTATGTGTACTTTTTGAATCAGAAAATGTAATTGTGGGTTTTTTCCCTCCTCCAGTTGTTGATAGGCTATGAAAATGGGACCATCGTGTTCTGGGACTTACGATCTAAAAGAGCCGATCTGAGAGCTTATTATGATGAGGTAAGCAGTTTCCATTAATTCAGCACAGCCATTATTCAGCGGTTTGCCATATGTCTTACCAAGCACATGGATGTTTATCTAAAGGCATTGCTGCTTTTGGAAATACTGTTTGTGCTACGCTTTTGGGCAAAGTACTGACAATAGAAATCAAAGTCTGAAATCTTTAGTTATGATGCTTTAGGCTCTTATGAGTGTACTGTGACGCAGAATGTCCTCCCCTTGATCCTGACGAGTTCATCAACTTCTCTGTGGGGATCCTCAGTTGAACAGAGTCCAGGAGCTGACCTGAGATATAGCTACAATAGGAATTACATAATAATCTCTACTGGGTATATCTAGAACATTCATTATATTGGAAGACAAATTGCTTTCTACAGCCATTGATATTGCCTAGTACTTAAGGTCTGATTAAACATTTTTCAAAATTATATTGTCATAGTTATCACACAGTTGTCTCTTGTCATTTGTAAGCAGCCTGTGTTAACCACAGAGTCAGTTCTTGTGTCAATAATCAAGCTGCTTGAGAAATAGATATAAACATAGTTATTATGATTTTAGCACTAGCCCTAGGAAAGAATATTCTTTGTTCTGCCAGCACTCTGAAGTTCACCATGGATGAACGTGAATGCAACTACAGCTGAAGGTAGAAAAGGACATTTTCTTTAAAGTGATCCTGACAGTAATTGGTTTCCTGTGGTTCTCTTTCTTTCTTCATCTTGTCACCTTGCTATGTATAAGGAGTGTATACACATTTATATCCCCTCTAAAAAGCAATCTGAATACATATGGATCCTGCACTCTTTCAGACCTGCTGTCAGAGACACATTAAAGCTACTCTGAGCTTCAAGGTTAAGTTTCTGAGCATCAACATAGCAAATGTTTCAAAGGACAAGTTTGAAAAGGCCAGCACTAAAGCCTCAAGATATGCCCACTGACTTGTCTCTCAGTGACAGTCTGCTTGTGCAAACACTTGTGAAATTGCACCCCTTCTATTACTTAAGGCTGAACAACTTCTTCCTTTTACAGGTCTCCTCAGGAAGGGTGGGGGTGGGGGTGTCTCTTCTCTCTCTGTCCTCTCTTGTACTCAGAATGAGACTGCATGAAGCAGGATCTTCTTAATGCTGGCTCCCTTTTTTTTTTTTTTTTTTTCATTTGGAGGCAGAGTGGGTGGATGTTGAAAATTCCTCATACAATTTAGAATTTAGTTGTTCCACATTTTTCAGTGCTGTTCTCAGGAACTTTTTTTTTTGCCTTTTAATCAGTCCCATGCTTTCTTTCTCAGTGGTTATTTGCTATGTCATTACTCCACTTTGTGCAACTTGTGCTAGCTTCTTATATACTAATTGCAAGATTCTTATTTTGTTTTTAAGAGGATTGTGTGACTAGCCGTTTTACTTTATTCCAGACTTTCAGGCTCCATGTTCATAATGTTCCAGACCTGCTAGAATTCCCTCAGGGAAGCCACTACCCTTAGGGAGCCACTAAAAAGGGGTCTTTTTTAAATCCTGGGTTGCATAGGTTCTGTGAGTAAAAAATTACTAGTTTGGCATGTGCCATTTGGTATTTAGTAGCAACCCAAATTAGCAAGCCTAAGCCTCATGTTATGGGTTGGCCACCAAAGATCACAGTCCAGAAGTCATCGTTCCTGCTCCCCTTCACCATGCTGTCTGCACTCATGGAAGGCCTCTGTGGCCCACGATGTCTGACCATTCTCTCAGTATTTTTCTGGGACTGAGCCAGAACAGTTCCAGTTGCAGGGTATCTGTGAAATCTCAGATAAATTCCTGTAAGTGTTCTGTATCTTCATTAAGTAACAAAATGCCTCTTTGCATGAGTTCTGAATTAAATTAATTCACCCTCACTTTTCTTACTATCATTTTGATTTTCGTCTTCTCAATGGTGATATGCATGAGATATTGAGGCCCTTCCAATCAATGCTCCTACACAATGCCTTCTATAAAAGGCTTTCCTTCCAAGCTCTTTTATAATTTCCTGGAAAAGTTTATTTCCATCAAGTGGTATAAAAAGACAGCACATAAACAAGACAGATCTTTCAAATGCTTCTCAAGTTGTTACTGATAGTTGGCAAGCCCAAAATCCAGCCATCTTCCTGTGCAGGCTTTAGAAGTTTGCATCAACCCCCATTCAAAGATGTCTGAAGCAGTTGTCATCTTTCACTGGAACACATCCCCAAAACGAAGATGCAGAATTCTCAGAGACATTTGCCAAATGACAGCTCCCTACCTTTGTCTAGCACCATGTCACTACGGAACTATCAGATTGGATGTGGCCCTTGCTGTAATGGTCCTGCAGTACTACAAACACAAAGGACTTCTAGCATTCAAATAGTAAGACAAGCATTGCTCATTCCAAAATATGGTTAAAAGTGGTACTAAAGACCCTCAGTGGTGAAGGTTTGTGGTTGGGAAGGAACTGAAATGCTATTAGGTATGCTTAATTTTGGTACATGCTGAGTGTGAGAGAAGATGGAATGTGTATGCAACAGCTGTGGGTATTGCAGAAGGAGAAACATACCTAATCTGGAGTGAGATGCTTTATGTGCACACACTGTGTGAACATTCACATGAGCCACCCATCATGAGGAACTCCTGTTCTAAGCAAATAACTGCTCCTTTTGTGTGTAAATGCTAAAGAAGTGGATCTGAATGCTAGACATAATCTAGCAGAGAGAAAATTCAGGACTTGTTGAGGACCACCTTTCAGAATTACTCATGACTTGCAGCTGAGACCTCCAAAAGCATTTCTGTTTTTCTTGTCCATTTTGTGGCAAAGTCTAACAGGTCAGTTTGGGTTGCTGCTGTGCCAGCTGTCTGTGCCAGGATCATCCCCCTCAGCTCCCCTCCATGGGCGGTGTATGCTGGCAGGTGGCACCTGGGCACGGAGAGGCAGTTTAACAAGCAGCTCCGTATGGTTTTTAGCTAGTTGCCATCTCCTGCTCATACATAGTCAGTGACTGTAACCATGTGAAATGTCTCTAAGTGTGACAACACATCAAAACCAGATTCAAATTTGGCATGATAGCAAGCATGAATGAGCTCATGTCAGAATTAATTTGCATGAGGATAGACATGCCTTCAGTGTAAGTGAAGCAGCGCTCCCCACAGAACTAAGGTTATTGTACCTGAAGGCAACAACACTGGACTCTGCATGAATCATCTTTCTGTGTTGTATTTTGTTACTTCAGTTATAATTAGGTTTCTTCTGGTTATTTAAGAGGAATTGTGTACCAGCTCCCTCTCTGCAAGGTAGAAGTCTGGGTGATACCCATTATGCCACTAAAACATAAATACCTAGAGTTCAAGTTTTTTCAGCTCCTTTTTTTGCTTCCTTTTTAGTAGTGTGTCAATCAAGCATTCATGTACAAGGCATGTCAGATTCCTGTTAAAACATCTGGCTCATTTGTGGCTCTGCTGTCCAGCCCCAGGAGCTGAGTAAAGCTTTGGTAAAGGATTGTGGCCCTTTGGTTGATTTCGTCTGATACTCTCTCCAGACCATGAGCTGTAACCAACCATAACAATCAATATAATGATTAAAAGAGGAAAACCAACAGGGAGTTTTAAATACTGGCCAGTAGCACTTAAACAAAATTAATATGAAGAGCTGCAATGCTGACTTGTGAATACCCAGGCATGATGTTAAGTCATTTAAATAAATCAGGTAAATGCCTGTGTGCAGTTTTAACTGCATGCAAGGCCTTAGCATTTCCTAGGTTGAAAAAAGAAAACATGGAAATTTATTAAGCTGCATTCAAAAATAGATCTCTTTTATTTACATTTACATAAAATTATATTGTGGTTTTTGCTATTTAGCAGTGAACATTTCTGGAAGGGATATGGATTCAAGGGAGAATTCTGTGAGTTTGTGCTTCTGTGAGGAGTGTGTGAGGAACTGTGGTATAGAATGAATGTTCTTTCAGAATATGGCTTTTATTAGTTTCCAGCACATATCAGGGAAATTGAAGGACTTACCCCATTATCCTTTCCAGTAGTTTGATGTAACTATGGATATTTTCAGCTCCACTAATTATGCACAAAATACTAAGAATGGTGTACATAACATTCATCATATATTTCTTGTAGTATGCACAAAGGAGTGTGATATTCCTCTCCTCTGATGCACTATCTCTTTCAAAACAATCTTACATCATTGTTTTGGTAATTTTCTATAGCAGTGAAACAGTCCTGGATTTTTCATTATTTTGGTTTTGACATTAAACATCCCAGATTTCTGTGGACTTGCTCTGCAACTTAAGTATGTGAGAGTATGTGTGGAAATTATCCAAGAACAGTGTTTTACTTCCTCTGGGGAAGGCTCTGTGTGTTGTATGTTACTTGTAAAGATTTTTGCACACAATTACCTGTAAATTTACCAGATTAAATACTTCTAAGGAGAGCTATCAGACATATTACAACTGCACTGTATGGCCCTTTTTCTTACACTTTTACCTTAATACCCTTTTCCTTCAATTTTGGCCTGATTCAGTACAGGCTTTCTTACATTACTGTGTTACATTAGCCTTTATGATGAAATGTGGATTACAGCCATCTGTTGCTAAAAACTGATGGTAATGGACTTCAGACAAACAGGAACCATCCAACTGTTGATATACCATTAGAACAATATAATCTGAAGTCATACATGAAAATATCGTTAGTGTCAACACTGTATTCCATTCCAGGCTCAAGTTCTTCTTTCGTTTCTCTAGGCTATTCATTCTGTTGCTTGGCATCATGAAGGGAAGCAGTTCATGTGTAGTCACTCTGATGGCAGCTTGACCCTGTGGAATCTGAAAAGCCCTAACAGACCATTCCAGACCACAATTCCACACGGTAATTCTGATAGTTAAAATGTGTAACTAAGAAGCAATGCAGTGTTCTCCATGCTGTTTTCTAATATGTAGGTTTATTTAATTTTTCCTTGTTGCCCAGATGTTGCTTCTTGCATAAATATTTTGATCTGCAAAGTAGCTGCAAATTATTGTGAAATCAGTAACTTAGATCAAACTTTTTATTGTAATTGGTGTCATATATACCACTTTCTGATTTATATTACTCTTATGTCTTATCCAATTTCTTTTAAGAGTCTACTGCTGGTCTGTGAGGCCCTCAGGCTCTTTCTTTTATCGTTTGTACTTTTATGTGCAATTTTGACAACAAATTAATGCGTTTTGTACAAGGTACTGTGGTGTTTGTCATGGGGATGGTACAAGGCTTTCCAAAGAACTGCAATGAAGAATTTACAGGAGCCATAGTAAGAGATGGCTTTATCTTTATGTGTGGGACTTTATATAAAAGTGCTTCCTGCAAATTAGATTTTAAAGTACTGACAACACTGTAAATGTATACATTTACATTTACTTTACTAAGAAATCTGACTCTAGAGAGGGAGGAAGGAGAAGAAGTCAAGGTCTAAATAGCCCCAAAAGGATTTAGCATTTACTTCTTTTATATAATTTTTAGTCATAGAATTCTACAATGTCAGAAGGGAGCTCTCAACCAGTCAGATGATCAGATCAAAACAGGCCTGATTTGATGAGTAAACTCAGGACACTGGGCACTTGAACACTTCCAGCAAAAAATTGCACAACCTCTTTGGGCAATATCTTTTGGTATTTAATGATCTGTGTGGCACAAATTATTTTGTTAATATCTAACCAGAATTTTCCATGCCACAACCTATGTCCTTTATCTCCCATCATAGCACTGTGTACCTCTGAGAAAAGTCTTTATCCATCTACACTGCATCCTCCAGTCAGACTGTTGTCAAAAGCAAGTATAGGCTTTCCAAAGCAACAAACCCAAAATGGCTATTTTTTTAGTTTGCAAGTGACTTTTCTCTGATTGGAAGAAAGTACTGAGCCATAATTAACCAAGAACTAATGAATTTCAGTTGCATGCTTCATTTAATTTTACCACTCAACTGGTTACACTGCAAAGCAGGTAATGTTTTGTCAACAACAGGAACTAAGTCAATCTAAGAATGGCTTAGGAAAAAATTAAGCTGTTTCTGGTCATTATATGTTCAGAAAAAAAGACACATAATTAGTCTGATTCATTCATTATTAGTTAAGTTTCTTACTCAGAAATCTACATGGTTTATAGATGTCTTTGAAGTGTGTTCTGTGGTTCTTTAGATGTATGTGGCAGTAAAAACACAAAGACATAATAAATGTAGTTAATTTAGACAAATGTATATTTTATGGAAATAGCAGCTAATACTCCTAATCTTTTGTAGCTTTAAAGTTCCTTTATTGTTGTTTATATGGTTGTTTCAATGTATATGTTTTAGTTTGATCATTCAGTTTCATGTTTTAATAGTTTCCATGTTCTTTCTTTCCTTAGGAAAAGTTCAAAGAGATGGAAAAAAACCTGAATCTTGTAAACCAATTCTTAAAGTAGAGTACAAGACCTGTAAAAACAGGTTTGTTTTTAATTCTGTAATTAACTCAATAATATGTTCCTGAGTTTATGTCCTTTTAGAATCTTTTCCTGCTTTCTTTTTGCAAATCTATTTATTGTTATTTGCAGATACTGAACCTATAATGTATGTACTATGTAGACTTACACTTGGTTTTTTTTAATACAGTGAACCATTTGTGATATTTTCTGGTGGACTGTCGTATGATAAGCCTTGTCGAAGACCAAGTTTAACAATCATGCATGGGAAAGCAATTACAGTTCTTGAGATGGATCATCCTATAGTTGATTTTTTAACTCTTTGTGAAACCCCGTATCCAAATGGTGAGTTTATTGGGAAAAATACAGTTACGGAAACTATAAACAAAGTGATCTTTCCTCATACATTAATCCCATCCCAGGGACTTCCATCCTTATATTTGTCTTCATCTTGAGAAAACTACATAACTGAAAGTACCTGGACCTTGTTTGCATTCTCAGTGTAGGAAGCAAGTAGTAAGTGGACAATAAAGTGTGCATAAATCTCCACTTATAGGATTAAAACCCATGGGCTACTGTGAGAAAACATTGCTATTAATCAAAGATAGGTGCTTATATTTCTGAAATTTTTCATCATTTACAGCTTGCTAAATTATGAAAATTTAACTATCACTTACCTGCAAAAAAGTTCTTACACTTCAGCATGAAATTAAGTGTTATGTTTGCTGCATACTGTGGGGCTGCTAAGTTCTGAAATACATTGTCAGAAAGTTCCAGAACATAAATCAAGAAAAGCTGTAAGTCAAAAAGGAACTAACTTTAGCATTTTAAGCCCTCAAGCAGAGAAGTAAAATAAATCTTATATAAATAGCTAAACCAAATACACATTAAAAACATTTACTAAAGTGTATTTGCGCTTCAATATAATGCAAAAATTTAATTTTAATTTAATCAGAGTTGCTCTGGGCCTTCATTTAACTGTGTCAAATACTTCCCAGTACTTGGGTTTTGTAGCATCTTCCCCTGCTCACAGACCAATATTTAAACATTTTGGTTAAACTTGTGTTATTTATAGCCAAGTATAAAAACAGGCAAAAAATAATGTGCATTCATAGCAGGACTGAAAGGAAGATGAATCAGTTGCTCTCATTTACTTGTCCTTTTGGCATCTCCCATCTGAACAGTTTATTCTGAGCTTGCACGTGCTGGAATGATTTGCTGCTGTTGAAGAGCAAGTAGTAATTTCACATTTGTATTTTTTAACAAAAATGTAAATTATAAAAAGTATGTAAATGAATATACTCTATGCATCAAGAGAAGCTTTTATTTGTTATCTTAATTCTTTAGTTTTGAAAAGAACCAAACCGTATAATCCCCTAAAGAGTGTGTGGGAGGAAGGGGGCATGTTATTACCTGAATTGAAAACAGCAGACTTACAGAATTCCTAGTGAGTATTCCCCTTGAATCAGCTCAGGAATGGGGGCATTTTGTATCATGAAGTGTCCTGCACAATCTGTTTCCGAAGAGCAGTTGTACACAGTAGAAGTATTATTTTTGGACAGCAAAAATACTTTTTCTGTGTAACAATTGGATTCAATAATACAATGATACACACAACTTATTCATATTCTACTTCTTTACTTTCAACATAACATCATGCTGGCAGGCTATAATGCTCCAATTCTTCTGCTGCTTTGTGTGTTTGCCAACAGCAGTATCCAAAAGTAATTTCCTACTTCCTCTCTGGCCCTAGTTTCCAGCTATGGCTGGTTTGTGCATATGTCAAGGGTTTATACCTCAAAGCTTCTAATATACTGTGAAAATTTAAAGAACATAAATATTGCTTGCTTGCTTAAAATGGCTGATAGGAGAATTCCATGTCTTTTGTACTTGATTCCTTGCTTACAGAATTTCAAGAACCCTATGCTGTAGTTGTGCTTTTGGAAAAAGATCTCATTGTCGTTGACCTGACACAAAGCAAGTAAGTATAAAGTTTTAGATGAAGTTATTTGTGTGTTCAATTGTCCAGTAAATTACCATAAAATTCCAAATAATTTAACTATCCAAAATCATTCACTCTTGGAAATAACTCCTGCTAAATATTTACTTCCACTTTAAGAACTAAGTTAATCTCTTGAACAGGAACTTGTGATAATATTTGTTCTTAAACTTTGGAATAAATCTAAATTTATGTGTCCCTTCAGCACAGCCCTCAAATGTTCCTTCAACACCAAAGTTAAATAACATTTGAACACACATGTGATTTGGAAATAAGATTCAACAACTACTTTTATGCATGTCTAGCCTCAGTATCTTAATAAATAATGGCATTGTTTTATATGGATCTACAGAATTACTTCATGACCCAGTTGCTGGTTTAAATGACAATAGTTCTTTCATATCAGAATCAATGTTCCTATCAAAGAGGAACTCTATATCATGTAAAGCATAATCCAATTATTTATTTTGTTCTGCCTCCAACACTACCAGTAATGGACATCCACATTCACACTGGTGTAACAAGGAACAGATTTTGCTGTCAACGTATTGAAAAATGTTAAGTGAATCATATTCAGATCTCACTTACTTTAAAGAATAATTCAGATAATCTCAGAATTGTAAAATAGACATTACTGAAATCAGAACCGTATTTCCTATATTTTTCAGTGAATAGCATTGTATAATGTGTGAAAAGTGAGGTTTTCCTCCTTATCAGGCTGTTCAAACTGATGGAAGTGAGAAATAAACTGAGATCTACTCATCTGTTATTGCAATTTTTCATTGTATAATCAGAAATCTACCAACCCAATAAGCTAAGATGTTCAACATAAAAGCCACAATTGTAAAAGTGTGTAGTTCATAGTATGTATCATATCCATGAACCTGAAACTTCTGGAAAATTTGTCACTTCTGTATAATAAGATTTTGAGATGTCAGAAAAAAATTAGTTCTCGTTCATTCATAAAGGTAGCCCTATTAGCCTTAGGGACTATTTATGTAGGATTCTTGTCTTGTTGAATTTTTGTCTTTATTAGAGTAACTACACATTATAACTAAAAACAATACATAAGTTTGAATAAATAAGGGAAAATATATTTAATTAGTAGTGATTTTACTTAAATTCTGTTATATACTTTAATATAAAAATATACTTTAATATAAGAATATGTTTTATTCTATGGCTCAGTGTGTCACAGCGCTTCTAATAAATTGTCTTCCTTAACTAGTTTTCCAATCTTTGAAAATCCATATCCTATTGACATTCATGAGTCACCTGTTACCTGCACAGAATATTTTGCGGACTGTCCTCCAGATTTGATCCCTGTGCTCTATTCTGTAGGAGCAAAACATAAAAAGCAAGGATACAGCAATAAGGTAAACAAAACCAATATTCTTGTTTTAAGCAAAGGAAGTAGATGTGTAACCTATGTTTTTGTAACCTCTTACCAAATTATTTTTCTTTTACTTCTTTAATGATCACTTTAAGGTTAGTCCAACCAGCAGCTTAGCAGTCTGATTACAGTCCACTATTTGTCCCTCAGAAACATGATCGCTTAAGCAGAACCATTAATTATCATTAGATGGGACTTAATCATTAAGATGCTGGAGTTATTCCAGACCAGATTGTGTTAAAGGAGAGCCATCAGTGTACAATTCAAATGTGTAAGGATAGGTTCTCTCTAATAAAGAAAAAAGTGAAAGCATTATGATTGAAAGACTTAGGCAGATGTTCAGTGAGAGCTGACAACATCTGTGAGATTTGTTACTAAATAGGGATAATAATAATAATTATTTTACTGAGCTACCAAAGTCTTACCATAATGCTGTAGAAATAGGACAGACTTCAGGAAGTAAAAGAAGAAATACAATTAATTTATAAATTTCAAGCTTTTAACTGGTTTGTATTTTGGCTAGAACTAATGCATTTTAATAAATAAAGTAGAAAAAAATACTGGGTAAAGAAGTCAGTCATCATCAATTTTCTATTCATATCAATGGAAGTATTCTCCTTGGAGCTGGGTTGTTTTCCATTAACTCAAAATGTGAGCCCTCTCTACTTCTTTTGCATCTTGGTTCACAAAAGTACTTCAGAAAATATTTTTGTTTCTCCTGTTTGGATCTACCCTTACCTCATACACACCTGCCTGTATTCCCTGCATCCTCTCTTGCCCCCTTGCTTTATTTGTGCACGTACAAATGCACTCTGCTGAAGGCAGGTGGTCAGGCACGTGCCAGGCACCCATTTCTGTACCCACAAGCATCCACTCCATGTATCCTCACCAACAGTTTGTGCTCCAGGTTTTTCTCCCCCCACTCATACTCTGCACACATCCTGACCCACTCTGCACATGTGTCACCCTGTGCAGCTTGTATCCACACACGTCAGGGCTTTAGGCACAGGGCAGCATTCTAGACCATTAGTAAACAAGAGGCAAGGAGGAGATGATGATCCCATATGTTCTGTAAAACATATGTTCTGTATCTCATGGCATCATGCTCTGATACTTGTTTCTGGGCCAGCTTCTTTAGTGGTCTTTGTATTCAAAATAAATTCTCACTCTCTTCAGTGTTCTGTAGAATCTCCAAGAGAAAAGCCATCTCAAAAGACCAGCAGAATTGTTGGTTACTCCTCATTCCTGCTTTAGGTTGTTGCATGTTAGCTGTGTGGAAATATTTTTAAAGCATAGAACATTAGTTGATAATATAAAAGGGTTTTTAAGTTTCCAAAGCCTGAACTGATGACACAAAAATGTTAATAAACTGTAAAAGCCTTGAATTATACATATTTTTGTTCTTTTACAAGTTTTATTGCTTCTGGGGGAAAAGATGTTGTCTACTCCTGAATTTAAAAAGTAGCCAAGCAAGGTTCAGCAGAATAAGTTGTGATCTCTGCACTTTCGTTTGTTTAGGAGTGGCCTATCAGTGGTGGGGCATGGAACCTTGGAGCTCAGACATATCCTGAAATCATTATTACAGGGTGAGAATGAAACTGGGGATTGGTACTTTTAAACTATTTGTGTCTACTCCTTTTGATTGTGGGTTAGCTATAGATAAGAGTTGAGACTTCACTGCATATGCATTTCCTGGCTCTTCACTTGGGTAGTGTCACCACAGAAATTCTCTTTTGCTCTAGAAAGCAGAACTTAGTACCCAGGGTTGAGCTACCACTAAGAATGACAATTTGAGGCCCCAGTGTTAGATAGCAATGCTTGTGAAGGCAGGGTCTTGGAAAAAAAAAAATCTATTGCGAGAGAATATTCTGGCCTTGAAGGTCACAGAGAATAGCTTCAAAAAGCAGAGAAGCTGTTGTCCCCCTGGCCTTCTGGACTCTGTCTGGGGACAGTTTGGGAATTCATTTTAATACTCAGCATTAGTGAGTGTGTGGTGCACTGGGGTGAATTTCGTCTTGTGGGGAGAGAAACAGAGCAAAAAGAAAGGCTCAGATTGCAGTAGGAGCCCCATCAGCAGTGCCTGGTGGATTCCCAATGGATCATACTGTAAAACAAACTGTTCATTCAGCTAAGATGCACAATGAGTTTTCCTCTAGTCTCAGTCATGTATTTGATGAATTGTTGCTATCAATGATACTAAAGATCTGACTTTAAAAATAAGGTTATGATGTATGCAGTAGTAAGAGAAGGTGATAAAGAGATCATTCTCATTGTAAAAAGAAGTATCTCCTTTTTCCAGCTTTGTTTCAGCAATTTTATGTTACTAAAAGGAACACAGTTGTGAAGTTATCAAGCAAAATGAAGTTACCTTCTGTCCTTTCAAAGTTCACTGTACATGGCAATTTTAATGTGCATAGGTTTGATGCTGGCCCACTGCAAAGCCAAAAGTGCTGTGACTTAAACTTGTTATTAGTATGGGAAGTCATTTCTTCTTGTTGCAATCTTAAAATTCATTGGGAGCTTAACTTTCTGCAGGAAATGCATAAAAATATTTTGTTAACCAAATGAAACCAAATAACAAAACATTTTCTTCTAGTTTGTATGTATGTCTGTAACATGTTGTCAGTAAGTTATAGAAAGTTGCATAAATTTTTTTTTCTGGTTGTATTTATTAGTCACTGAAAGTAGACAATGTTTTAGAATTGCATCTTGTTTTAACACATTTAATTTTTATCTTTTTTTTAAGCCATGCAGATGGATCAGTAAAATTTTGGGATGCTTCTGCCAGTAAGTTTCTAAAGTTCACTTTTACATAATGCTGACAAATCACACAAACACACATTTATATATAAAACAGGATATTTAACAGGTTAAGTAGTAATAGCTGGGCTGATATAATTAGGACAAAGGGGTGAAATTCAGAAAATGTTGAATAAGAGAAAAAATGCTGCTAATGAGATATATTAGGCAGAAAAGAGTGAGGAATAATAACTCAAGGTCCAGCATACCAAAATCTATGAAGGATGAAATGTTGGTAGAAAATCCCTAGGGGACATTCTTCTTGTGTGCACAAAGGAGAAGGCTCAGTTAGATCTAATATTCAGTTCCAGTTGTCATATCACTTCTATACTGTGTACAACAAAATCTTTACAGCTAAGTAAAAATAAAAGATTAAAATACATTCATATATTTCAAAAGATTTAATCTGGTGAGGGTGGAAAATACCAAAACCTTTTCTTGTCCAGTTTCACATCTCAGGAAATAATTGGGAAGCATTTCCATTCATCCAAGCAGGAAAAAGCTTCAGAAAATACTTGTTCCATATAATCTAGCTATAACTGCACATATCAGCAACCAGTATTTTCCCCTACAGAAAATACATATGGTATTCATTAGCAAAATATAGGTATTAAAATACATGTACATTTTGATGGAAATTTTAATTTAAAGTATTGTGCTTCAAATAATTGACGATGCTTCACCAAAATTCCTGTGGAGTTGCCTTGTATTTTTGTCTCTTTGATGGTACAGGGATGTCTGGGTAATATCTCTCTTTTATGAGGTATTAGTGTGTGAAAGAAAATTCAGGATGAGATGTTAGGCATACAGAGATTTAATATGACCCTAATAACCAGCCTGTAATGGGTGCCAAGATCATGGAGTATGGGATACTTAAAATACCTGCTAGTTCCACGGGTGCCACAGAATTGAAATTATTAATATTGCTACCATTACCAACCAAGCATGGGGAATGTTGGCCAATTTTTAATGTCAGCTAAACCTGAAGACTTTGTCAGGTACTTGCCTTTTTGCTTAATACTGAATATTTTCACTTGGGATGCACAAGGAGAAAATGAGGATTTCCAAGGCCTCATTTCACAAAATGCATTTCATGTTTTAAATAGGCAGGAACTGAACATGGCCATGGGTTGTTTTTTCATTAAGTAATTTGTCTGTTTGGAAATGGTGGGAGAACAGAAACATGGTGCTCAGAATTTACATCTTCCACTGTCTTCAAGTTATGGTGAACACCAATCATCAAATGAGAGCAACATTTTATGTGCTAGAACAGAAGTTTTTGAGACTTGTGAAAATTTCAGTTTTAAGAATGTGCAAATACAGGCTCTAAAGTTAGGGTGAAACAATACAGACTGTTGGAAGGCCCCAAGGCATTCAGTGTTCATACTGCACAGGAAGCAATTGTGCTAGTTATTCCTTCTAGAACTCTGGCAGAAATGGGGAAAGAAAGAAAAAACCTCTCATAGGGAATATAAGTATAACCTAATCAATATATACATGCTGCAGTAGGATTTTTTCTTAACATTAAAAACTTATATGATCATGAATATTCACAATTTCTTCAACAGTGCTGGTATTTTCAGTGCATCTCTGATGTCCTGGTCCTAGTCCTGATTTTCAGGGCATGTACTGGGTTACTCCTACTGTACTTGGTACTTTTTATTTACAAGGTTTTGATTATTACAAAGTTTTGTTATTTATTTTATTTACAAGGTGCTAACCTTTTTAGTGGAGTTCAAAGTTGATTTGCGATTCCCTAGCAAACATAATATCCTACTGATATTTGAAGCACAAAATACTTTGCTTTCAGACATATTTTAATTGTGTAGTCTTGTGTCTGGAAGCACAGGGAGAGACAGGGACTTGCTAGGCCACTGGAGCTGTTTCCAAAATGTATCTTTATTCAAAAGATATTGCTGGTTTTTTATTTACTTGTGCAGATGGTGCCCAGGTAATAGAGCATAGAGAGTCTTGTCTTCAACTCTGTACCCTATGATTCTGTAATTCTTCCAGTCATAACGTGCATGGACCCATGATGCCTGATTTGAAGTGCCACTCTAGAATTGCTACTGGCACTAACTGGCAACCTGAATCCTTTTTATTTGCCACTGAGGGCAGGAAGAATGATGTATTTATTACAGAAGCACTTGCTGTAATTTGTGAAATTCAGCAGAGTTTTATGTGCTAAAACTTTTTAAAACATTAAAAACTGTATATGCTAAACCTCCTGGAATATATCTGCACTGCCAAACAAAAATGTAATTTTGCTGTGTTCATCATCTGATTACATAACTAAAACACTGTCCTTTCATCTTCCTGTTGCTCTTGTTACACAAGCTGGCCAGGCTGAGCTACCAGAATTACACGGACGTAGGCAGCAGATTTGCCTTTGTGGATATGCACACCTTTATAGGTGCTGGGCCTGACTGACTTTTTCTGACATTATGCAGTTACTGATTAATGCCACTGAGAAACCAGTGTAAAAGCAGTAAAAACAGGGAAGAATGTCAAACATAATGGGGTGAATTGTCTCTCCTCCTTTACTTCTGGAACTTGCTGCAGTGGAGCTCTAATCTCAACAAAAGCTTTTGGATACTAGGATTTTATATACAGGTATAAATATTGATCTACACATTAGTCAAGAAATTCAAAACCTTTTTGAACTCCCATTAATTCAGAAGAACTTTGAGTTGACCAGGCCACCAGCTTGCTTTCCTAATGTTTTTTCTTGAATTGCCATACACTCTTTACATTTTATCAACACCATAACCTCAGACAAATGAAATCTTAGTTTCACATCTCTTTAGGGAAGTATCAATATGATCAGAGCCTCTCTATAACACTGATTGTAAGCCTAATTATAGACACAATGGTTTACACCTTTGACACCCTTCCCCAGAAAGTACTAAGTATTTAATAGACAAATACCCTTCTGAAAAATATTAAATACATATCCTACCAGTAATGTGTATCACAACAGTGTCTGTATTGTTGTCCTGGTTTGGATGATTGTATAATACACAACTTCTCCTATTAGACTTTCCTAAGATTACTTGTTATGCCACAACAAGAAAGTGCGAACTGAGGAATTTTATAACTGATTTGCTTCATGTTAGTATTATTTATATGTTTTAATATATTCCAGTTACTCTACAGATGTTGTACAAACTAAAAACATCAAAGGTCTTTGAAAAACAGAAAGTGGGAGAAGGAAAAGCAACAGCTGAGATTGTGGAAGAAGATCCTTTTGCTGTTCAGATGATGTACTGGTGTCCTGAAAGCCGAATTTTCTGTGTGGCAGGAGTTTCTGCCTATGTGATTGTTTACAGGTTCAGCAAACATGAAGTAAATACTGAAATTGCAGTAAGTACTCATTTCACTCTCTTATAAGAGAACAATTTCTAAATCAAATTGCCTTGCTTCACCTGTGCTCAAGTATTTAAATAAAAATAGCAATCAGTATAAATACAGGTTTAGGGACATTCCATTTTAAACCTTTCCAGGGAAATCTTGATCCTACTTCAGTTACTGACAAAAATCTGAGGGTTTGGGAACCTACTCTCCACTTTCTTTTTGCTTTAGTAGTAACATACAGTGTAGCTTTCAGACATTGCTACAGACATTGCTTTTAAGACTTTATGATACAGTAATCTCTGTTGTATTTACCTGGTCTAAAATTACTGTCTGCTGTATGTTTTATCTGTTAATGTACACTGTGCACATGCACAATGCTCTTTTTAACTCAAGTATTTAATCTCTTTAATTTCTGTTCATAAGAAGACTGAAAATTATCAGTGGATTTAACAAAATAGAGTTGATCTTTTTCTGACTTATGCTGACGTGTTTCCCTAAAGATAGAAATTACATGAAATGCCAGATTATTTTTCCCCTTCCCTGATTATAGTTCTTTTCACACTATTTTAATGCTCTTTAGAAAGCTCTACTGTGGCAAAAACCTATGTTATTTTTGGCCTGTAGCCAAAAAATGGCATGTGCCATTCTGTATGGATGTTTATTACCTGTAGTTCTTCTGTTGTTTTCCACTTTTTTCTCCCCCCGTCCCTCCTGGCAATTATGAAGCTGCCTGAATGTATCATTTCAGGAAAGGTTTAAAACTAATGACCAGTAATTTCACATTACTGACCAGCTCATGTATAATGCTGCTAAAATTACTGCATTTCAATATTCTTACATTGTTCTACAGCAAATGCACCTTATCTTTTATTATCCATAATTTAATGTCTTCTTTCCCTGTTCTTCGCTTCCCCGGCTGAATTGCATCATTACTGGTATTTTCCAAAGTGTTATAATAGGTGCAATTTAACAGTTTCTTAGATTTCATCTGTAATTAGTAAGCATTTTTCCCTGAATATTAAATTATGCAATCTTGGTGGCATAGTCACAGAATTCCCCTGGGTTTTGTGCATCTCAGAAATGGTCTTCTCTTTTCTTTCTGTGTTTTTGCTGCTTGCAGTCAAGTCTTCACTCTAAATGAAAGGAGGGATTTTTAATCAAAAGCATGGAATTCTTTGTTGGAATCTGTACCTGACTTTAGGCTGTGTGTTTTTGTCTGTATTGAGACTGAGATGGCCAATCTCAGGATTTCTTTGCTGCCTGAGGTACAAAGCACTTTGGTGTCCTTCCTTCCTTATCAGCCAGACTGAACTTACCTTGGGTTCAGTCTCCAAATGCCAGCGTTTTAAGGTCCCCACGTTGGTTTGACTGCCCTGATGTCAGTGTTATAATGTTTTTGCTGTGGCAAATGGGAAGTGTGGGGGCTACTCAAAGGTTGCTCCATGTAGTAGGGAAGTCTGCAGCTGAATATGCCTCAGGAGCATAGGCTGTGCCTGGAATTTCCTCAACAGAAGTATTTGCATCATTTCATATCAGATTCTGGAGGCAAGGAGTATGCATGAGACAAATTCTGCTTCATAACCAACCTTGGAGTCATTGCCATCAGTTATATAAAAAGCATTTACTGCTGTTATTTTTGTTTTCTTATCTGAATCCACTCCATCCTGTCTCAAAAGGATCTATTAATTAAACATGATCACTTCCTCAGTGACCAGTCTTTCCTCAGTGAAGCTCCTCTTCAAATCTCTTGAGAAGAAACACGGGAAAAAAGTTTACACTCATTTGAAGGTGGAAAGGGGAATCAATGAGCCTAGTAATAAGATCCCCCAAAAATATCTTTACTCTGTGTCAAAATAAATCGATTCAACATTTCTATAACCCTCCTAGGGTCCAGCCAAAGCAGAGACAAAAACATAAGAAAAATTCACAATCATGTTTTTAGCCTGAATTTTTCCTTCTCTCTTCAAATGCACAAGAGATGGAACTTAACAAAATATTAGTAGAAAAAGGAATACACACAGAAAAACATTCAAAGATGAGTGATGCACTTTTGTCATGGTAAGCAGAAGAGCATAGTCTTCAACAGTTACTCCAGTCCTGCATAAAGATTAAACAGCACTACAAATACTTTCAGTCAGCTGCAATTACTTCCCGATTAGATTTTCCTGAACTCAATATTTCACTCATTAGTCTTTGAAGGCAAATGTTGTCTGTAGGTTTCTTTAACTGATTCAGGCACAAAATATCCACGGATTTTGAAATGAGGAAACAAAAAAGAAATTTCGAGAAAGGACTCTCTTTCCTGGTTGAACAGAATCTCTTCTTTCTGAAATCTTGTGTGTTTTAGCACAATGGTTGAGAAACAGGTGACCCTTCAGTACTACTCACCTTTATCTCCTAATTCTCATGAAATTCAGCTATTTTGTTCATCTTCATTCTGGTACAGATGATGTCTCAGTGAAAGATCACTAAGACTGAGTTTGCAGTGTCTACCTCTGCAATGACTTCTATTCCTTTGAAGGTAGCAACATTGAAATTACTGTTCAGCTAGTCATCGCCAGACCTTGTATCATTGAGAATTGTACCTTGGTTTTTATTCTTTTCAAAATGCAGATTTCCTTGGACAATTCATGAGGTAGAAAGAATTTGTTCAGTATTTACTTACCTAGATTTGAACTTCCTGTCCAGTTCCTCCCTGGAGCCCTCAGTTAATATTTCCTGAATTAGAGGAGAGAATTGTAGGGTGGTTTGGCCTCTTTTTCCCTTTCTAGAGAGGCCAGAAGGAAAGCAAAAGATAACTGGTTTGAATCTTTCTGAAATCTGCCAAACTCAGATTAATTCTAAAGAGCACCGAGCTGTCTGTGCTGTAATCTCTGATTTCCTGGCCCCACTTATGGATAAATGAAGCTCATGTATCAGTACTATTCACACTGTCAGGCTTATCCATCCTGGCTAAACCTCATCTCTTAGAAACTCTGTTGTACAAGTAATCAGGAGGCAGAGTTGGTGATCCTTCTTGTTCCTATCTGATGTTGCTGTTACTCAGTATAAATAACAAATGACAGTATTCTTTGCCTGCAAATTATAGTGATAAATGGGGGTTATTAAACAAAAAACCAAAAAAAGGCATACTGATATTTATTTGGAAGTAACAGAACTTTCAGCAGCTTTCCTTATGAAATGATAAGTTACCTTTTTATTTATTTAAGTCATTAGAGGTACGACTTCAGTGCGAAGTAGAAGACATCATTACTCCTGAACCAGAAACAAATCCTCCATTTCCAGATGCCTCCTCCCAGCTTCCTTCTTTAAAGAGCCTTTCAGGCAGTACCAACACTGTAGCATGTGAAGGAACGATGAAGGACAGTATCCCATGTCTTAGGTAAGTCTATGCCATTGTTTAAATATTGATCTTTCTAAAAAGCATTCTTATCTGTTAGTCAATCCATCAGCTCCCAAGAAAGAGAGTAATTGTATACATGTGACCCAAAATGAGAAGAAACCAGAATATGGAACAAACAAAATAATTAAGGCAAAGTAATCAACAAGGGATTTTAAAGGGATAGAAGTTATTGTGAAGAATAGAAACTGTTACTCATTTTCCAGTGTGATCTAGGAGTACATCTCCAAGGAATTTCTGAGGTTAGTTCATGAAGAAACTTCTGTAAAAGCTGGCATGTGCAAAGCTTTCTCTCCTTGATGAATTAATATAATACTGATTTTTTTTTTTAATTAAAGAACTGTATGCATTTTGTGGTGTGTAAGACATGGAAACTGTGTTCATACTTATGAAAAAATCTTTAAAATGTACGATTATGAAACAATCACACTGTGTGGAAGTGTATATTTGTTTAATCTTTAGAAAAAAGCAAATTGTTTTCTGCTAGAATACATTGTCACTGTTTTGGAGTAGATTAATATGTTCTTATTATTAAGGCAGATAATGATGGATTTGAATAGCTTAAAACAGTAATTCTGTACAAAACTCTATAAAAACTGTAATTTTCCAGCAATTAGAGTGCATTGCTGACAAGAATTGCTCTCATTTTGGTGAATTCATTATTATTTTGGTCTAATTATTATTAAATCTTTTAAATGCCTCTATTATTTCAAAAGCAGTTAAAATGAACATTTCCTGATTTTGCTGATACTTTGGGCTGCTTGGCTCCTGAAAGTGGCATTAGCATTTAGAAGTTATATTGTCCTTGTAAAATTAACAGTATTTTTTGGCCTTCTGTTCATTTGTCCATCTCATTCAGTCAGGCAGTTGAACTTCAGACCTCAGTTTAATCATTAATTTGAACAATGAAAATCAACAGAAGGGGCAGAGATTAGTTATTTAAAAACTCCAAATGTGAAATCTCTTTATGACATTGATATCAGGAAGAATGCAATCATTTAATTATTTCACTGGCTAACAGTTTTGCTTAAGAGATTCTTACTTGATTTTGTCTGTAAAAGAGAGGAGTTATTGATCTTGGAGGAAGAAAAGTTGTAATGAACCCACAGAGGTTCAGCTTGTTACTTTTTAGGAGTTTTCTTATCTCAAATAATCTCAGATTAAACTGGCCAATAGATTTTTGTCAAATTTTAGACAAGGTAACTGTAGTGTTATTTTGACTGAGAAGTGATTTTTCAAAGTCAGAGTAATTACACCACTAGAACTGCTGGCACACTCCTACATTTAGATAAAAATATACTTATGTATGCTATTATCCTTCTCAGGAAAGACATACAGATATCCACACTTTTCCCCCAAACCTTAGCTGGGTTCCCAGGCCTTGTCTGTCTAAGAACTTCTGATCTAAACAGAATTATGATGGTAAAATGAAAGTAGTGCTGAAAACACTGGAAAAAGCCGGTGAAGACCAGACTTTATGTGCAAGTCATTCAGGTGGGCAGCAGGACAGAATCTAAAATAGAGCAATATTAATGTAAAGCTGCAACCAGCTGTACATGGATGGTGAGTGCACAGCTTGAACTATATTGATAATGCACATAAAATATTGCACACATACATAACTGGCTCCATTATGTTTATTTTCATATCTGCTTCTCAACATCGTTACAGCAAATGAATGGCACTCCACACTACATAATTTTTTTCTAGCCAGAAGTCAGAAAACTGAATGTGTTTGTGCCTGTGAATAGCTACCAGGAAGAAAGTAATTGAAGGGACTGAAGTAATGAAAACTTGGCACTTTTCTGAAATCAAAAGTAACTGTTACCGAGGAAGGCAGGAAGCAGTATGGAATAAATATTGTTCTTGTTTCTTTCAGAAGATTTTGCAGTGAGATAGGCAGCTGTAATAACCTAAGAAACCAATGGATTTGTGATTATGCAGATAAATACTTTTGATGTGAATGCTGTTATCATAAAGCTGAACCCAGAATGTCAGTCTTTGTTCCCAGACTTCTAGTATCATCCCAAAATTAGGTCAATCAAGGGTTTTAACAGTAGCTTCAAGTAACTCCAAAGTGATAAGGAACTGTGAATGTCTTGTGAAAAGAAACTAAAACCCAAAACTTTGCAACAATGAAATTCAATGTAGCATAACAAGAACGTGTCAAGGAAATCACTGAAATGTCTACATTCCTTCTGCTCATACTCCTGCGGTCTGTTTAGGCTTTCATTATAAACACTTCAGAAAAAAAGCCATCCAAAACAAGGTGCAGAACTGAATATCTGCATTACTGTTTAAGCAGGATGGTTAGGGAAACAAGGGAAATAGCTCAAAGATTCTTAAGGAGGAAGATGTCACAGAAACATGGGAATGACAACCTTAATAATGAAATCTGAAGTTACTTTACTTTGTTATTATAGTCTTTCACCACCTACAGTTTATTATATGCTTAGAGAAAATCCCTGTGGAATAATACCAATTTTTATCAAAGCAGATCCTTAAATTTGTAGTGAAAAATACTTAGAGGACAGCGTGTTTGCTTTTTTCCCTTCAAGTGACAGAAATCCATAAGAAAACTTAGAAGGTATTTGAAGCTCTCTAATTTTTCAGGATGCCATTAAAAACACATTGGAAAAGTAATACCACATTAAAAAACATGTTTTAGAAGATCATAATTACTTCTGCAGCCATTGTCAGTCTCAGGGTAGCTTTTTTAGAAGAAGGAAGCAGATACTTGCTTTGACAGACACTTGTTGGAGCAGTGTGCTTGCCTCTTGTGTTTTGCCACACCATCAGTTATCCATTAGAAAATATAGTTGGAAAGATCAGCTGAAAGGGCATTAGAGTAAGTCCTGGTTCTTGGATTTAATTTCCCTGTTATATATTTTTCTAACATTTTTAAGAGCAGGAGCTGAAAGCTGAAAATTGGGTACAAGATGGAAAGACCATCACTATTATGCCTCTTAAAGGCTTATCCACAGGCATTAGAAGTTGAAGGGCTCCATCACAAAGATACTCTGAAGGGCTGTAATATATTCAGCTTCTGCTTGCTGTGAAGTTTCTTTGAAAATAATACATCTTTACTGTATACAACTCTTGTCTGTAGTTTCAGTTCATCCTGGTCTCAAAGGACCCCTCTCCTTGGCAGCTTGAGTTCACAGATGTTCACACCTTTGTTCTCAGCACGAATACCCTCCTGGGTAATCCAGGGCTTGCTTCTTTAAGGTTATGAGTAGCATCACTTCAGAAATGCTCGTGGCTATGTATCATATGAACAAAGAAAAGGGCAAAGCTTTAGTGCCAGCAGAACAGGTCAGAAATTGCAAAACTCTGAGCAGAGGTTGGCTGCTGATAGAAAACAACAATACAAAGCTATTGCCAGCTGTAGTGGGTTGAGCACTTGCTGAACTGCACTGTCATGTCTTTCCTACAACAATATCCAAGCCAAGTGCCTGATTACTGCTCCAGACAAATACACATGGTAGGTCTGAAGAGTACTACAGGGAAAAGAAATAGAACGGTGAGTGTGCCAAGCTGCTGTTAAGGAAATGCATTTAGAGGATAGATGAGCAATGACTTTCTCATAAAGTATACTGCCCTACTTTATGCCTGTGTGCAAAGGGGTCTAATACAAGCACTCTCATCAATAACAGGTACAGTGAAAATGCACTGACTAGTGGGTTTTACCTGTAAATTACTACTACTATGTGAATGTACTAATGACTAATATGAATACCTCAAAGTATTGCTATTATTGTGTAATGTTTTCTTCCAGCGTATCCCACATTGTTATACCACTGAAAAAAGCACATAAAGCAGTCATACAGAGGTGTTCAGCTCTTACACTTCCCCTTAAAATGTACACCTTCACTACCTGCTTTGCAAGTCACTGAACTTGCCATAGACGGGTGTTAATAGTTATATCAGATTTGGTGTAGGAACCATTCATTCACATACTAGGTGATTATACTCCTAGAAGTAAAACAGGACTTGTTTGCACTACATGGACAAATAGATTTGTAAAGTCCATAAGTTTTTAATAGGCTCTGGTGAGGACCACTACAGAAAGGTGTATCTTCTCATCTTCTCTTGCCTCATTGCATTTTTCTGCCATGCTTTGCTTCATAAGACAAAAGTTCCAGATACACAGAAATGCCCTTTTTCAAAGTCTCAAAAGAAAGTATTTTAGGCTTTCCATTCGGGTTGACAATTCATAATGATGCAAATCAGTTGTTTTTCGTGGCCCAATGTTTGTTTGTTTGTTCTTATTTTGTATCTCCTCTTCTTAGCGTTAAGGCTCGACCTGTGCGGATGCCTCCCGGCTACCAGGCAGATTTGGTTATCCAGCTGGTGTGGGTGGATGGTGAGCCTCCACAACAGATTACCAGTCTTGCTGTAAACTCTGCTTACGGACTGTAAGTAACTCAGAATTAAGGTTGCGTTGATTTATAGTGCTAAATCACGTTATCCAACTATACTTTGAAATTTCCCACAGACAATTAAGGTCAAAGCTAAGTATTTGAAAGATACTGTAAATCAGATTCTTGGGGGAAAGTTATTTGAACTGACACAGAGATTGTAATATGGGATGTTAAACTGCCATTCTTGCCAATATTTTTACTAATCCTATTTAAAACACTGAATCTTTTCACATAATTCTTTCCATCCTTTCAAATAAGATCTAATTGCATTTCAAATCCGTAATTTTCAAAGTTATTTTGAAAGGTTCACCAAGGTGAAATGCATTTAATGGAAAATGGTAAAGTGATTAACTGTTAAATACCATTTTCATGACATCATATTTTAGTTGGAAATTGTCTTCTGAGAGCAACATTTTTATGTCTGTGCTAATGTCTGTTTGCACAAGAATCGGTGACCTGAAATGGAGAATTGAATAAGGAACATTTAAATGCTGTATTCTGGATGGCAATGCAAATGATTGTGTGTAATTGTTTCCTCAGGTTCAGTTTATTTGCAAATTTTTAATGTTTTCTCTTACTGAGAGTCACCCTGATACATTAAAATGGTTTTCCCTGTAGGTGTTACTCCAATGAAACTATTGGCTGTAATTGGTGTTAGGTGCTGACTCCTGCTGATTTTCAGTAAGTCACTGGACTCTTTTCAGAGACTTTGGCAGTTTAATGCAGAGTTTTTACATTTCTGCAAAATTACTGTCTTCTGGGGGCTGTTTTTTCAAGTTTTCAGCCTGAATTTCTAGATACTTTCCTGTTAATGAATTCCAAGAATTTCTTTTCTTTACCATACCTTGATGGACTTGTCGCTTGTGCAAATTGTTAGGTTTTGCCTGATTGGCTCCCTTGCAGGTCTCAGACCTCAAGGCAGCTTCTGAGCATCACACCATTCTCTCACTTGTAAACTACTCTGATAGGTTGTGATGCTCCTCATGGTCACAGTGGTTTCCTAAACCACTGATTGGATTCAATCAAGTGCTTTAAATGGTTTCATTTACTAGGAGCAATAATAGTTTACAGGACAGCCTCCTTTAAAACACCATAAGCTAAGTACAAGACTGTTTCAGAAATAAATGCATGTATGAATAAAGTAGGCTGATAACCTGAATATAACTTTCCTACAAGATCTACCCAAGAAAGGTCTTTTTCCTTACATTTTTTCTGCAGACTCTCTTCTCTCTTCCTTTCTCTTCTCATTCTTAACTTTTTCCTCAGGCCTATGACAAGGCACAGTCCTTTCTTTCATCAGAATTTTTGTTTACTACTTTAATTGTCACCTGTTATGTATCTTCACCATGTGGAAAAACCTATTCCACTTCAGCATGAAGCCTGAGAACATGTAGATTTTGCCATGCTAATTATAGAGCTATTTGGGTCATTTTTTGCCTAATTTTTCTTCCTATACCAATCAGTTTAACTAGGTCAAAGACATAAAATGGTGTGTGTTTTGGAGAGTCTGTTTCCAGTATTCTTTTTATTACTATGATTTCTGGAACTGTTATACTGCAGCCATGAAACAGGAATAAAGTGAGATGCAAAAAAAACCTTTATTCCCAGCAAAGATGAAAGACTTCAGACTATGCAAAATTTTATTTAATGTAATTGGTTTATTTTTAACAGTACCAAGGCTACAAATTAAAAGTATTAACCCCTGTTTTATTTATGTTGAAATGAATCATCAAAAACTTCATCTTATGAAAGTAGAAAAGAAAATTTTACAAAATGCTTCAATTACAACTGAAGAATTAGGTTAACCTTGAGGAACAAGGTTAAATACAAATAATAAATTTGTTTTGAAGTAGGTTCTGTTGGACTGAAAGCACTGACTGAAAATTTATTACTGGCTTGTGGGGTAATAGTTTTCAGCTAATCTGCATAGTAATTGTCCAGAAATGTCTGATGAGGGTTTTATGACATTTCTGTGAAAGATACCAACAGTATAGGACATCACCAAGCAACTAATTCTGTTCATTGCTCAAAACTGAGAAATTAATTTTGGTTTTGATTTCATAAGGACTTGGTTATTAGTAATTTATCTTAAGCCTTGCTAATAGTAATGGCTGTCTAGATTTTTTTTATCCAACCTCAGAAGCGTTATTAATGAGCAACTTTAGATTCTTTTTTAAACTAATTTGTTTGGGTATAAGAAATATTAGATCCATGCTTGTGTGTGAAATTAGAGGAATTTAGAAAAATACAGACCAGGAAATGATACATTTTGTTAATTTGCTGGCCAGGGGTGTGAATGATCACTAGCTCTTCTTGTGACTCATGTTTTTGAAAATTAATAAATCTAGGTTAATAATTTTCAAAGTGCAAATGACCATTTTTTCCCTAAACTATTAATAGATGAGATTGACACTTGTCATTTTTATTCTTTTTTTTTTCCTCCACCCAGAGTGCAGGAACTTATGAACACATACAATCAGTCCTCTCTTAGTCTAAAACCATTAACCCCATTCCCATGAGCCATTTTCTCAAGCTTGTCCAGGTCCTTCTGGAATGCATTTGTCCCTCAGGCACATCTCAGCTTGGTGCTGTCTGCAGATTTACTGAGGGTGCCCTCCATTCCATTGTCTCTGGCACTGGTAAAGGCATTAAGCTGTACTGGTCCCAGTATGGGCCCCTGAGGGACAGCAGTCAGGAAAAAAACGCCAATGGGGAAAAGTCAAAGCTCATCCATAGTATTTCCATAGATGCTGCCCTGCAGTCAGTGCTGAGACAAGGGTGGTGAACATGGTGTAGTAGCAACCAGTAGAATTCAAGCCACTGTTGCAGATGGTGCCTTAATTTGCTAGTTTGACAACTGAGGAAAAACAATTTCATTTTTCTTGACATATTACTTTTTAATTTGCTATATGGAACCCTCTTTTTTATAATAGAAGCAGTATAAGAAAAGGTAGGACAGAGGAAAATTTTCTAGCTACCCTGCTTTCCCTCTGCCTCATTGCTTTCCTTTTGCATTGTTGTTTTTCCACACACAAATTCCTTTCAGATATTTTGGAGATACATTAAGAAGAGTCAGGTGGAGGTGAGTGCACATTTTCTGCTTCTGTGCAGAAAATGACAGGACGTGATAGCAAGTGATTCTGAATATGATTGAACATAGTTTGGGTTTTTGAGTTTCTTTGTGGCTGTACCTGCAATCCTTTCTGTCTGGAATTCAAAATTGCAGTCTGATACAGAAGGAGAGAGATCTTGCCCATAAATCGAAACACCATCAAAATGCATTTGCAGAAGTATTTCAGAGAGGTAGAGACTGTTTTAGCATGAATTTCTGCTGTAGAGAAGCCGACAAAGTTGGAAGGAAATTTTATAAATGCTTTTCAGATTTGGATATCTCCACAATACAGCCTAATATATTTCATTTGTCATTTACATTTAGCTTTAAAAGAATCCTTTTACATGTATTTGTATTTTAATTTATATTTGTATTTTATATAAATGCATAACCACTTTTTAACATCTACGTTCCAATTTTTAGTCTTAATTGATATCATTATCATCAGAATTATATTGTTCAGTGAAGCAACGTTTAGACATTACTGCAGTGTATTTGATACAGAAAGTTGGTAGAAGTTGTAACTGCTTTCTGGAAAGTTAATTCAGAAAACAGTTTTTAAAATTCAGGATTACAAACCTGTAAGAAATAAAAAATGTGAGCTTGAGTAGTTCCTGAAGAAAATGTTTGTGCACTATTCATAATAATAATAATAATAATAATTCTTGTTTTCAGGATTTAATTACATATTGCTAACGTTTTTGAGGGATGTTTCTCTTTGCAGAGTGGCTTTTGGGAACTGCAATGGTTTGGCTGTTGTGGATTTCATGCAGAAGACAGTCCTGCTGAGCATGGGCACCCTCGACCTCTATGGATCCAGTGATCCATACCAGCGGCAGCCCCGCTCACCTCGCAAGAGCAGGCAGTTTGCTGCAGGTAGGAAATAAATCGTTGTGGTTATGAGCCTGATATGTTCCTTTGGTTTTTTTGCCTGTGGCTTTTCAGTGCTTTTGGAATGCATGACTATTTGCCGGCCAATGGAGTTTCTATAACTTGGCAAAAGAAACCTGACATGCCCTAGGTGCGGGCACTTTCTCAGAAATAAAATGTTTTATGAGGTTTTTTTTTCCTTTTGGGATGGAGGTCAGCAAGTAATTCCCTTAGCTGAGTCTGTAAAAAATCACAATGAGCAGAGCAATAAATTGTTTCTCTGGCAGTCACTTGATGTGTAGTTTGTATGCTATTTTTTTTTTGGTTTCAATAAGTTCATACCAATAAGTAAGACTTCTGTTTAACCTTAAATATACCTTCTGCCAGGAGCTATTCATTTGAATAGTTAGCTGTATTTAGAGATGTGTAACACCTGGGAGGCATGTTATGTAGGTAACACAAGGAGCTAAAATTAAGCACTTCATTAGTGAAGTTCTTAATATAAACCTCCAGTATCCATTTTAAAATTTGATGCTAAGAGGATCACAGCAAGTCATAACTGTTATTATGCATTGTGTATTAGAAATATTAATACTTCAATAGAGGTAAATTTTACCATACTTTGTTGGTTATCTAAACATTTATTGGTATAAACATTTACTTGTATGAGAAAAAGTCAGATCATCTGTTTCAAGTCTTTCCACTTGACATATTCCATAGTAACATGCGAGAGTCAGACACAATTATGGAATGTGTTTTGCATAGCTGTGAAGTTTTAGAATTCAATTTTTAAATATCTTTGAAAGTGTGGAGTTTTAAATCTAACCCTAAAATTACAAAAGCAACAGATTATAGTGGGTTTATGCCATCAGCATTTTCATCAGCAGACCCTGCACTGAATCATCAAGTCCTACTTCTCCATAGAGTTATGGGAAACATTTTTTTTAATTGGGAATGTGTTTACACTCCAAACAGAAAGTAAAATCTAGAGAACAATTTAGAGAATAAAATACAAGTCTTCAGGCCTACTTCTGCTCCTGAAAGACCATTTATCTCACTTTCTATGCATTTAATCATGGCAAGTTTAGTTCCCATCTGTGCCAAGTGTTAAATATGTAAATTTGGCACAGCTGAGGAGAGAAGAGACGGGCAGCTTCAAGTTACCTTCAGCTTCTCTCTCTGGTTTCAGCCAGCCTCACAGCAGCTCCCTAAAAAATGTGAGCAGCTAGCCACAAACAACATGCTGCAGAACTCTGTACAAAAGGTGGAGGATTGCTCATGTAGAAAAAGCTGTTATAAGCTGTATCACAGAGGGTTTTCTCTGTCAGTGGCAGTCTGGGCCAATCCTTTAAGGCATCATTCCAGCTATCCAGTGCTGCCAGAATGGAGCCCACTGCGGATAAATGACCGCTGAGAAGGATTGCAACTTCTAGATTGCTCATAGAAACTATGCATCTAAAAAAAGCCTCAGCTGCTTTCTCACCATCCATCCCACATCCTTTACTTTTTCGATTATTTTTCTTGTTGTATCTCCCAATTGGAAGGTAAGCATCTGCTGAAATTTCTTCACCTTGGCTGTTCTAGATGCTGGTTATGATATCACTTCCTTTCACTTTAGACTGTTTTTTCTCTCTTTCCTCTGCCTGCTGCTGATGCTGGTGTACTGGCATGTTCCAAAGACAACTTTTGCATGCGTGGCCTGTCTAACTTTTATCCAGATTTAACGAAACGGATCCGTACTTCCTATCAGAGTAAGTTCTATAAAGGTTAGGCAAAAAGCTTTATCATGATTGGACTATGCCTGACTTAAACCCATGTGTTTGTGCTTTGTAATGTGTTTTTTAAACACATTCAGCATGCATGCAAACTTAGTACATTTTGTGATGTCAACCATGCTTATTTTTGACAATTACCTTTATTATACAGAAATTCTTTTCTTTAAAAAGAAAGTCTAAGAGAAAACCTCAGTGTTATATGGGACAGATTGGGCATTAGCAATTATTTTTCAACAATGTTATGTTCTTGGTGACAGTATCTTTCTTTGGTTTTATATTTGTTTCCATGTACATTCACTAATATGAAGCATTTCTTGTTTTGCAATGGCACTATCTGTAGTTACCAACTAATTCTTCCCTTTTTTCAGAAGAACAATGTGGCTTAAAAGAGTACCCATTGGATTGGATGCTGTGAAATTTAAAATTTTAATCCTGGTTTGGTACTTAAATATTTGGCTTTGGGGAACCATCCCGTGCCTCTGTTCTTTGATGGGGAATGTAAAGTGGGCATAAAAATACACACATCAAAGAGGGCTATGAAAATTCATGTTTTTAATATCTTTAAATTTTGAGTTATACTGATATGAAATTTAAATATTAGTATTCATCACTGCAGAATACAGTGAACAAAGCTATAATTAATTTTGCAAAAATGACTGTTCAACAGATGAGCCATACGTATCTTAATTAACTGCAGCGCTTATATGTAATTAGGTCTCTAGGATGCCTTTTTTAAAGTACTTTTCACAGAACAACAGGGTAGGCAATTTTATATTAAATATTCAGTATAGGCAGGATAAAAGAGTGGCAGTTGTTTTATCATCTCTCATAAATATAAAGTTATGTAGCTATTGAAATACATTCGTACACTTGCACGACACATTCTGTTCCATCCCTCTAGGCTGATTTCTATTACTTTATTTCATAATAGTTTGTAAAAGGTGGTCTGTTTAGTTAAAAGACTAGTCCAGTTATAAATTCAGCAGTCCATAAAAAGGTTTGGTGTATGATATCTTAAAGTCTATTAGTCTGATCTTGCTAATTTCAAGTCTGTAACAGAGAACCTGAGTGACAAACAGCAGTCAAATGTTTGGGGTTTTTTTTCCCCTCCTCTGAAAAATTAATAAGTTCTAATGGCAAAAATTACCAGTGTCTTCATTCCAAATTACAAACGTAGACCACTGAGTTTTTCATAGCTGAAAATGTATTATCTTGTTTCTGTCTTCATCCTCACAGTCAGAAAAGTCTCCAAAATCTTCCTGTGAAGTATTAGTCTGAATTTTAGGCAAGATCATAAACAACTTAATTTCTTTCCTCAAAAATGGTTTGTTTCTTGGTTTTGTAATTTGATATTTATACAGGAATATATATTGTGTAATCTAGAAGATGCACCAAGCAGTAAGATCAAGAACAGGACTAGAATATGTCACAGACGGAAATATCTTGCAAAGTCATTCTCAAGTTGTGCCTTGTTATATCTCTTATCTGAGAGATTAATTTTAAGAGGGGTATTAAGAGGGAATTTTGGAGTTTGCTTACAAGTTTATCTTCTTTCCTAAGGGATGATGATGGGAAAAGTAAATTATTTTTGGGAATTGTGCACTCGAAGCCAATATTATTATGACAAAAGCAGGAGCAGTCATGTGATAACAGAAGCATTAGGTCTAAACTTTTAAGGGATATATCAATGAAAATGGAAGTTAGTGGGAAGATATATGAGTAGTTGATTCAATTAAGTAATGAAGGAGGAAGATAATTTCATGTGGATCTGTATGAGAAAATAAGACTTGTAGGTACTGAAGCCAAAGGAGAGATTATCGATGAGCAAGATACTTAGATTTTTGTTGGTCATTTTAGAGGTGATTTGCAGGAAGAGACAATGTAATTTAGTGTCCAGCCTAATTATGAGGTTAAAGTGTGACATTCAAAGATGTAACCAATATTGTGGATTACAGTATAAGAGAAGACAGTGATGCTGATAGCTCTGTTCATGTAGTAAAGGGGAAACTTCAGCACAACAAAAAGTTGAGTTCATCTTGGCCATGTTAAGTTCATATTTGGATACTCCAGAGTAGATTTTAGAAAGACAGGATTACTACTCTAACTTGGATAGAAGAAATCCAAGTTAAAGATGCATATTTATGAATCACTAGGGATATATGTATATATATATATATAAATAAAATTATTGCCATATTTATACAAAAGAATCTCTTCAAATACCGGGTCAGAGAAAGAAAGTGTTGATATTTCAGTCTGAGATGTCCTGCAACTGAACAGGGAAAGGGAAAAAAAAGAATGAACATGTAAGAGGAAAGAAGCAATGTGTTGGAGAAGAGGCTTGCCAGAGGAAAGACATAATCGACAATGTCAACGACATCCAATATGCAAAGCACTGTGGTGGAATAAATGTTCTGAATTGTAGCCAATAAATCTGTAGATAGCTTGATACTGATTACATGTGTAAACTCAAATGCACCCAGAGTGGACTTAGAGCATTAAGGCAGCACATTCTCTAGTTTGGGAGGTGAAAGTGGGAAAGGGAAGCAAGGAGGGAAGAAATGTAACCAGTTCTAGGTATACACAGTGGAAGAGACCGGAACATAATTGTCCGATCAGGGAAGTAATTTGAGGAAAAGAAGAAGCTAAGATGAGCCTAAGTGCAGAGCTGGAGATAACTTTCAGGTGTTGATGGCTGGTTCCATTTGCTGTAACATCTACAGACACCCCCCCTTTGTAGCAAAATTATATGACAAGCTAAATAAAATAAACTCTCTGTGCTGTACTGCAGAATTTTGAGGTTGCTTGGTTGTTATTTGATTGGTTTTCTTCTTCAATTGAAATCAAGTTGCACATGTTATTACCTGATTTTGGGTAACATGCATTCAAATATTAAAACAAGTACATTTATTGCACCTAGAGGGATAATGTCTGCAGCAGAATATAAAAATACCAAAATGATGCCAAAGGAATTTGCATCTCCTACTAGAAATTCATACCATCTGTTGGTAGAACAAGAAAATAGTCTTTATGAAGCATCCAAAGTGTTGTCAAATCCAAAGAATGTTGATACATTGCAAAATAATTTTCATAATGAAGACTTTTCAGTGAGAAGTTCTTTTTCCTCCCTCAGGCCAGTCCCTTGAGAGGGGGTGAGCAGAAGTATGGTTGGTCTGACAGGAGGATAGAGAAAACTGTGTGCTGTGAGTCATTGTATATCAGTAATTGGCTCTTAAATTCACACCTAAGAAGCTAGTATAGGTTGAGTTTAAGTCAATAGCTATATTCTGAGCTAACTAATTTCCAAAGAATGCATGCATAGATATATATAGGTATACAAACGTAAAAAAAACATGGTATGATAATTCAGTGTGAAGATGAGGGATTAAGATAACACTGAGCTTATTTATTTTATTGGCTTGTGAATATTTATGACAATTTATTTATAATTCATTTATTTATAAGCAAAGATGTGATGGCTTTAGGTGCTTTAGAGTAAATGATCAGTCTGAATCATTCAAACATACAGAAAGAAATTTAAAATTTCAAAAAGAATTTTAAATTGTGGGTTCATTAAAGTTGTTACCTCATGCTAGTTTTAATCCTTGAATAAAAAGGAAATTAAAACCACACTAAACTTAGAAAAGTATACATACGACAAGTCTTTAAAACTGTTTTAATGTCTTATGTGAGACATATACCTTGCACTATTTACACATGTATGATTTGCTCAAACCAAAGTCAATTTCTTTATAGTGTCCATGGGTATATCTTCTCTCACGTGGTTGTTCACATTGCTAGTCTTGGGGTTTTGCCTTTATTTTTACTGCTATATTCCTCTTGCTCTAGGTGGGCTTAAAATTTGCTGGGGATGGTTTTGGGGGCTAAAAATACCTAAAATATCTTGGGGGACAAACTGCCTATAGAATTCAAAATGGAAAGTGAAAATAGCTTTTAGTAGAATTGCACTAGCTGTTGTAGTCTCTCAGACATTTGAGGGAAGCTGAGGTTCATGGAAATATTTATACATGGTTAATTATTGAAAATATTTAGTTTCATTTCCTTAAAAAGGAAATGAGAGTAAAAAATGAGCAGTAGTACAAGGAAAAGCTTGAGAGCTCACTTTCTTATCTCAAAGGGAAACATTTAGTGGAATTAAAGGTAACACAAAAAAATTGACGAATATGTGTTTATCCTTTTCAGTGGATGATGATTGAGCAATTCATTGCCTTACAACATCTTCAGAATTCAGAATTTAGCAAGATTAAAAGAGACTTTGGATAACTGGGAGTGTAATGAGCAGAACTCATTATAATATTTCAAAGCAATAAAGATTTATGGCAGGAGAAAATCTGCAAGTGGAAGTGCTTAAGCAAATCTAAGTGAGATTAAGCCAATGCTCTTGTGCAGGGCACATGGTACCACTTACATTTCACATGGGGATATGTTGCACTTCTTCTTCTAAAGGCATCTGTAGGTGGTCATGGCTAGGGGTGACAGTGGCTTGACAGCAAGTCAAGGTTCATAGAGAAGTTCATGTGTTCAATATTCTTAAATAGCATAACATGAAATGTGTCTTTAATGTTTATGTTGCAAATTGTGCATAAAGAAGTCATGGTCTTCTTACTGTGGTTGCTCATTTAGAAGCAAAGTTTGACCTGGGTTTGATATCGTATCCAACACCAGTGCTAAATATACAGTGTTTAGAACATCTTAGACAAGGTGTTAAAACTTACCTATCTCCAATAATGCATTTACAAAATAAACAGTATAAGTTTTATTTATCCAAGGCCTCTGATGCTATGCAAACAGTCCTTGCAGACAGTTCTGCAGCAAAAAAAATCAATTCTGTCCCAAATCTCTAGGTACATACAGAAATCTTGGGTTCAAGTGGAAGATCTGCTGTACTAGAGAGGTTTTCCAAATTATTACAGTTTCTGAATATTCTCATAACATCAAAAGTGACTGAACTTGCAATTGATTGAAATACAAATGTTTTCTCACGGATTCTTAGTGAAATGAAAGGAAGATTGAGGTACATTTTTCAAAATAAAAAATCTTTGGTTTTCAACAATAGTGTCTAGTTTGGCAGATCTTGTCTCAATTCAGGAGCAAGTGTGTTGCTAATAGTGCCTTAACAGACTAAATCAATACTGGTGGTTTTCCAAAGGGCTCTCACCATTATTCTTGCACTCCTGCATCTTCATTTATGGCAGGAGCTTTTTTTGTTCTGTTGGCTGGGGCTCTGGATCCTCTCCAGTTCAAAAATACAATGTAGTAAAGTTGTCAGTACCTATGTTAGGATTCCACTGGTTTTAATACTAAGGAAGGAGGACTGGTGACTGAGTGGCAGAATTTTCCAAAACAAGAGTGTATATGAATTTTAGTGGTGAGGGTCTCTGACCTGAGGGTCCAGAAGCAATTAAAATTACAACATGTTTTCTTACAGAAGCTATGGTGCCTGTTTAAAGCATACTGAAAGGTTCTTGTAGGATGTTTGATTCTCAGGATGCAGCACAAGCAGAGTGTGTTAAATCCAATATCAGTATGACAGCAATGTACCCCTGACCGTAGGCTCTGACCTGAGTGCTGCGGGTCCACCTGCCTGGCATGTGAATGTCTGGGCAGGGCTGCCTGCCAGTGCCAGGTAGCCAGTGGTATGGAGTGCCAGAGCTCCTATAACAAGGGTGAGCCACAGGGCATTACAGATACCTAGAAAGAGTGCATTTGAATAAGTGTGGCCGTGCCCAGTTAGAAAGACAGAGTGAGCTCAGACTTTCCTTCCCCACCATGCTAAAAGGTGTATTTGAACTTGGAGCATTCAACCTGTGCCAAAGATGGATCTTAGTTTGCTCACAGAAACAAGCTTGAGTTTATGCAGTGCAGACTAGGATTGCTTTCCTTGGTGCTGTCTTCCATGTAGGTGGAGTTCCTGACAAATATATATATATATACCATGTATAAAGTATTTTGTCAGAAAATTCAGTGTCACACTCAGCCAGCTTTCAATGCTTCTGTGTCCTTTAAAATGACCTAGCTTGTGTGAATTCATGAAAATTCTAATATTGCACAGTAGCAGTAATCTTACTTTTTTTCTTCCCCTCTTTTAAGATTTCCTCCCTGCATTATGCAGCAGTTGAAAGCACAGAGTTGATTCCACATCATATTGACAGGGATGAATGAGTTTGAGTCATATCACAGACTTTTAAATTTTAAACTATACTTACTTGTTTTCTTTTGTTAGGTACAGTCACTCTTTTCTATCCCGAGGCACTCGGAAAACAAATCTGAGTTAACAAGAGGTGTGATTTTTTTTTTTTTTTAAACCAAGCCTAAATTGCTGCAGTGACAGCCTGATAACTGCACTTACCTGAAGTAGATTATTTCCCTCTCATTTCACACCATTCCTTTCTCCAAATTGACTTTAAAATGCAGAGTATCATCAACCAAGAAAGTTGAAGCATGCCCTGTTAGATTGTAACTTAACTCTTTAACTCCATTTTTTCAGGCCTGACTGAACTCAGTGACAGTCCAGTTTCCCTGGAGCTTGAGCGTTGCAAGTCTCCCACTTCAGGTAAAGGTGATTGGCTTCTCTTCCTGCAGTCTGTATAAGCCATTCATGTCATGCATCACTGTGTTTCATTAATCCCTAAGAAGTGAAGTCTTTCCAAAGAGAAGAAATTACTGGAGAAGCACTTTTTACATAGAACAGTAAAATCCTGATTCCTTAAGGAGAACTTAAATGTATGTGGTGCATCTTGAGGTGAACAGTGTGAAAACATTCAAGTAACAGTATTCAACAAAGTAATTCAACACAAGTAAAAGGATCATGCAGGTATATTCCTATAACTTCCTGTAAGAAGCTTGTTTCTCTGTTTTCTTAAAAGGCTTTCTAAGTTTTTTTTTACAGTAGGGAGTCCTTCTAATGATATACGTATATATTATGCGTACATGTACATGGAGAAAGTATTTGAAATCAGCAATATGGAGATGGTAAATTTTAGAACCCTAGTGCCTGATTTACCTAATTTGCAATGAAAGCAGAACCTCAGATAAAAATATTTGCTTATGAGTCAGGGCAGGGAAATCTTGGCCACACAAAAATTCATAAATGTTTCCCATTTTATCCATAGTCCTTCAGAAGGTGGAATTCATCCATTCCTAGAGACCTTTTCAGCAAGTGCCTAGTCTACCTTAATTTCTTTAATGTGAGTTCACTGAGTTAAAGAGGGTTGCTAAGAGCTGTTTTCTAGTAGCTGGCTTTTAAATGTTATGGAAAATAAGGAGATGTAGCTGTGATACATTTGTTTCGCTTGTGGTATGCATATCACTCTTCTTTTCCTTGTAGTTTGGTAAGTACTGATAGATATTTTTCCCCCTAAGTTATGGTAAAAATGCCCACAAGTATGCTATTCAAATTCTCTGTTACTGTTTCACATATTTTATGTCATAATAACAGGATACATTAATCTTGAATGAAAGCCACTAATTGGTAATTATAAAAAGCTAAAACTAATAAAAATGTTTCCCTGACATAGTAAGAGCTAAAACAAAACAGCTGCTTCGAAATATGTATTTCCTTGTACTATTTGCAACCCTAAATCTGTAGATATGGAGATATCCAAGGGAAATAGGCTATAATAATATTGGTATAAAACTAGGAGCTCAAACCCTTGAGCAGGGCCTTAAAAACTCATGATATAGGCTTTAAAATAAAACATTTGATAGCTCAGTTATAATTAGATTATTTATTGTGTGGCTCGCTGGGATTCAACTTTTCACTTTTCTCTTCAGAAATGAGCTAAAACCTTTCCTTTTCACTGAAAGCTAAGATATGACTGACTTGGTAACCATATGTGCATATTCTTAGTTTTATAATGATGAGTGTCTCCTATAACACTTTACTTTTTCTGCAGTTCAGTTTTTCATTTTGCTAGTGCTCAAAAATAGCTTTCTTAGATAAATCTGATATAATTTGCTCCAAAATTTATTCTGCTTTTTTCTGTTTTGGAGATATTCAGCAGGGAAAACATATTTATGGGTGTTTCCTATTTTAGCACTTTCATGTTGTTTTCCAAGCTATATTTATATTTTTTAAATGTGAAATCAGGTGCAGTTTTGTAGGAAGTAACTATTATTAGAACTACTTTTTAAAACAAGAAGTTTATTTTACTGTGACTGATATTAATTATTTTTATTTAATTATTGCAAAATTTAATTAATATTCCTTGTGCATACCTGCTGTGAAACGGGGCAGAATCCAATGTAGTCACTTGGAATAAGTGACCTCAAAACCGCGCCCTCCAAAACTTGGGAGAGGAACTAATCTTGTGCTTAACCAGCCCAGCCTCACACCCACACCAGCCTTCTCACTGACTAATGTTTCTTGCTCATAGACCACAGCTACATACTTATGGATCTGTCAGGCAGGATCCTTCCACTTCCAGCCTTGCCTTTATCTGTTTGAAGTCCACGGCACACGAGCTCTGCAATGGAAGTGTGCTGTGTTCCGTAAGAGCCCCACGATCTTTGGGTTTGTAAAACCACTGACCGCGTTCCTCTGCTGAAAACAGAGCAAGACTTGCTCCTTCAGAAATTTAGCAAAACCAGAAAGAACACTTGAACTGCTCTGTGAAGTGGTTCAAGCTGCTGCCCAGTGGAGGAGGGCCTGCTGGGTATGACTGCATGAGGTTGCAAAGACAGACAGAACTGAGTTTGATTTGTAGCAGTTCATTCTGGTTGCCAGAGCACGTCAACATCAGTTCTACACCCAGCAGGGAAGCTCATGCCGGGTGCTGGCCCTGAGTGTGCTCAATACATACACAAAGTGCAAACTGCTGGGGGGCACGAGTCTAGATGGCAAACACTGCACACGTGATGGATGGCACAGTGGGGAGCATCTTCATCCTTAGCTCCATCAGAAGGGCAATGATTTGAGGAACAGCATTGCTGTGCTCACGTGTGTATTTTGAGACTCCCAAGACAACACGTAGGAAGAATCCCCAGGGCACACTAATTGCCAGTGTAGACTTGAGTAGTTCTACATCTGAGAGAGCCATTAGTAGCTTACTCAGATTTCCATTCCAGTCAGGCAATAAGAACAGTGTTGGTAAAGGCTTCTTGGAGAACTTGAAAAATCTCCTGCCTCCTCATCTCTTGATCTGATGTTGAACATTGCTTAGACTGCCTGAACTGTCTCTGTTTCCATGAAAAATTGATTATGCCTGTAACATTCTAGTGCTGGTAATGTTTTAACCTATGACGGAATTTCTGCAGAGACAGCCTAGGTCAACTCAGTAATTTGGCTGCGTTGTTTTTCTTCTCCCTGCCTCCAAGTAGAATTAGGCATTTGTGTGTTCTATCATTGATACGAGTGATGGAACGCTGAGCAAGAGACTCAGGGCTGAAGAGTACTCCTTATTTCACATGCAGGGCTAGTACATAATTCAGTACAAATCCTACTTCTTCATTAAATAATATTTAACTTGGTTCACAAGACTGTCTTCTCAGATGTTCTTCCTGTGCTACTTACTAAAACATGACTTTGCAGATGATATAATTGAAAAATCAGATTCCCCTTCTGAACACCGTTCAGAATAGAACATAAAATTAAACCATTTGATTAAAAGTTTTCTGAAATGCACAGTGCCACACAGAGATTAGCAGCAAGTGAAGAAATAGCAACCTTGCTTTTTAAGAGTGGTGGGCAGAAGAGAGGAATAATCTTCCTTAACCACTGGTATCTTGTTTAATTAAACTAGTATTTAAATACTATAGTGATGCATTTACAAAACTATAAAGGGAAAGAAAAAGTTAGTAAAGCCATTTGAAAGATTCTGCTTATTTTTGAATAGCTGAGTGGCGGCAATTTCCACTGTAAATATATTCTGGATATAGTAATATGTATGGAATAACACCGGTAAAAATTGTGGAACAAAAGAACTTTAAGAACCCCCAAACTCTTACCTATCTAAAGCATGTTTCATGAATGTAGAAATGCAGCAAGGCATGCCATATCGTGATATTTGGTGGCTTAAAACCAAAAGCCTCAGAACATCCTATTCTTACTCCTGAATGCCTTGTTGTTTCAAACTGCATTTTCATTTTTGTTTGTGATTTGGGGGTCAAAAGGGCTCTGTACTACTTTCATTCTGCAGTGGCACGCAAGAGTTCAGTGGCTCTAAAGCACTCATCATGTAAGTGGTGCTGTATCAAATGCTTGAGTTAATTACTGTGTAATGTATTACAGAACAGTACCCATTCCAGTAAATTTTGTCTTTATTTTTATCATGTCATTAGGTAAACTTATTTGGGGGCTCTTAGGAATATAATGTATAATATATAATTATGTATGTCCATTACTGTTTTAAACATTGATATGGAGCTTGATATTGAAGTGTATTAATGGGAATACACTGTGAGCACAGGAAAATGCAACTTTGGATAGGTCATTTGTTGTGTGAGATGCTACTGGATACTTTAGACTTCTTTCAAAGACCAGAAGGAAAGAATTTCTTCAGTCTGTGCATAGGAGAGTGACTTATCAAATGTTTTTTCTAAAATGAAAAAGGATTTGTGTTTTTTCTTAAGAAGCATCTTGATATTGGGGGCTTGCATCCAAAATGCTTTTAAGATTTTTGAAGCTTAGAGAAGGCTGTGCAAAGATTCCCACGACTAATTCCCATGAGCTTTGAGACAGGTCCCTAATGGCAAGACCATAAATTTTTATACATACTATGATTTCCAAGTGCTATCCCTATTCATTTCACTGGCTAAATCTGCTGGGATTAGGCCTTTGCCATGCCAAACTCCCATTTTCCTATGTGAAGTGTTTTTTAAAATAGCTTTCTTTCAAGAAGAATATTATTAAGTTTCTTAACAATCATTCTCTTTCTTAACTTGTGGGTGACTTCAAAGTAGCTGAAGAGATTTGACTCCATTTGAAAATTGTATTCTCCTGGAAAATAAGCTAGAAAGTAAACACTTCAAAACATTTTATGTGTCTGTAAAACATGGAATGTAGTATATTTTGAAACTTAGTTACTGATAACACTGCAAAACCATTTCTGCCTATCCATATTAAATTAAAAAGAATGTTAACTAGTCAGCGGACAATAATTAGTGATTAGCTTCAGCAGTGTGGATACAAGGTGCATTTTATCACTATGTCCCATAAGCAAGGGAGTTTCTGAACAGGTGACTTCGTGCTTAAGTTCTTGAGAAGGGACTTGTGTGTAGGGACTGGCAAGGAGCAGGGAGCAGTGTGATCTGGGTGCCTGGGTTTGGGCCCTTGTGCAGCCCCTGGTGCATGGCTCAGGGGTCAAGGGGGCTTTAGCAGTAACCGGGACTGATGTTTCTGAGTGTTAGCCAGGTTTTCCTTAGTAGAAAAAATCCTGTATGAAGTCCCCTTCGTTTTGAATAATATGAAAATCTGTGACCACAGTGCTGCTGTAACAGCTGAGGGAAACTCAGCATTGAGTGCCAGAGCTGCGAGAGCACATTTGTTTGTTGGTTGTGCCTTGGTGTTTTCCTTGAAAGACTGAGAGGAAGCATATGGCTACAGAGCAGGATGTTGTCAGGTCAGCAGACCTGTGTGCTCAGCTTAGCTGGCTGCTAGACTGTACCTAGGAACTCTTCCTCATCCCACAGTTGAATAATTTAACTCTTAACACTTGAAGCTCTTTTGGGTAGGGGCTGTCTTGCCTTTATGCTGTACCAACACAATTTCTGTTGGCTGCCTCCAGCACGAATATAAACAAATTATGATAGCAGACAACTCTGCTGGCCTCTTGAACCTTATACTCCATTCTCAAATAAAACTGGATTTCAAAAGCTGTCTGTCAGCAAGACAGGCTTGTGTGCATGATCCTTCTTTATAATCAATGTAGAGACAGTAAAACATGGATGATTTAGGTACTAAAACCAGGTTACATAAACTAATCAGAATGTGGATGTTATTAATAGTTAAAAGTTAGTTTAAGAAAATTAATATAGACAGCTTTAATCACAGTAAAGCATGAAAACAGCCAGCTTTTTCCTGTTATTTTTACCCTCAGATATGGGGTTTATTGTCAGTGATCCGTTCTGTGCCGTAGTGCATCAACGTCCAGCTGTGTGATTGCCAGGTGAAGGGTGTGCAATTGTCACGCGGCAGCTCCCAAACCAAGCTTGTGTAGACTCCTTCAGAGGAATCAGAAAGTCCAAACTTTGCATCTGCTGTATGAGCCTGCACAGAAACAGCTGGGAGCTATTGGGTTCAGGCGTGTGTCACCATTTGGGACACAGCTGTGGCACGCAACACAAGACACATAATTCCTGCTGTATGCAAACACCTGTTACCTAGAAATAGAAGAGGTTAGACTACCAATTTTTAAAGCTCAAAGCTGCATGATGACAGCACTAATTTAGCTACTCTAAGTTCTAATCTGTTAGTGAAGTGTCCTACAGTTTTTCTTATGAATTGCTTATCCTTTTTCAGAGGGCTGGTTAGGCCAGATGTTGTCCTTCCTCTAAAAGGAGATTATTTCACAAGTGATGCTCCTTTATAGCAGAGCACTGATTTTCTGGAGCAGTAGCCAACCATTCACAGTCTGAAAGAGTATTTGACAGCTGCTCAGATAAATGGAATGGGTTTTTAAAGGCTGTTCTGAAAATCAAGCTGCCCTTTGTGTGAGTGCCTAAAATGGACATTGGTGCCTAACACTTGGTATCCAAATTAGAGGATTTTTATGTAGTAGTGTTAGGGGTGTGTATTTTTGATGTCAAGCTGATCTGGAGAGACCTCTTCACCATGTCCTGATTTAAAGTTATGGCTACAGATGGGTTACTGGGAGGGCTGTGCTGGTTCTGCTGATAGCAAAATATTGCTCAAGAGCCTCACGGGTTCCCCTACTCATCCCTGAAGAGAAAAAGCAAAACATCTAACATAGGTGCTGGCTGATATTTGATTCTGTCACACTGCAGGCTTTGCAAAAGGATACAACAGAAAATTTTTATTTTAGGGATTTTGTGACTTAAAAGAGTGAGTGTCTGTTCTGGGCATCCTTCTGACCTAAAAGCTTACTACATACAAATTACAAAGAATTTGTTACCTATATTCATATGTTCCAGTCACTGTGGTACTTATCACATGGGACTTTCTTTAGAAGTATAATAATAGTAATATAATAATTAGTTGACAAATATTTGATTGTTCCCTTCTAGTAACAGACAGCATGGGTAAGGGGTAAAAGCCAGAAAACCCTGTGAAAAAAATAATGAATACAAAATGAAGTAACCAAATTGGAAATCAAGTCATCTGAATAATTAATAAAAGATTTCTTAAGGCATTCTTCTGATAAATTTAATGCCATTTTGACTGCTACAAGACATGCTTTATTTCAGTTCTTTGTTGTTCATGTGCTTGTGTGTGAGGAAATGAAAACATTTTTGAACAGAAGCAAAATTACCAGTTTCTTGCATAGTTGGAACACAACAAATAATTAAACCTTCACTAAATTGAGTGCAAATTTTGATGGCTAGATAACACTGCATTATGTCCTGAAGCTGCTGTATTTCGTTTCTGTGCAATCTGTCTTCCTTTCCATAATATTACAACAGTATGTTCTGTCCCCATAACTCCTACAATATGCCCTCTCTTTTTCAAATGCTATCTTGAGGTATGATGTCATCAGAGCTCATAATTTCATTGCACCCTCTTATTAAATTGGTTTGCAGGTGTTTAAATATTTGTGATATGCTGCATAGCCAGCATTTGCAATATTTGCCTTAATCTCATTTGTGGTTTCTTTTTTTATCATTCCTGTCACCACAAGGTAAGATATTGCAGCACACAGCCAAAGCTGTGTAAAACATCATTCACTCCTTGACAGCTGGAATAATTTTTTTTTCCAGTGCTTCTTTGTTCAATTGCATTTATTTTGCTGAATGGTGTAAATGAAAATATTTAAACCATTATTCTGCCTTTATTATGCTGATTAAAAGAAAAATGCTACAAATTTGCAACATGATTTTAACCGGAAGATGGCATGTTGTTTTCCCTCGCTCCTTTTTCTTTCTTACTTATTAACAACTGCCTTTCTCCTTTTTCTGTTGTTTCAGTTAAAGGATCAAGAAAGTTAAGTCTGCCAACAGATCTTAAGACTGATCTTGGTACGGTAGGCGAAAGCCAACAGCTTTAAACTTCCTTACATTCATTGGCAAAACATTTTACCAAGTGATTCATGAGATAACACAATAACCTCAGAGGCTTTGTCTGAAAAGGCTTTCTAAAAACCACCTATTAACCCATACAGTTCTGTTGGCAGCTCTCAGCATTTTGCTTGTTTAATATTCATTTATTTCATGTAGACATATATTGCCAATCATTACACACTGTGTGTGTAATACTTTATTCTGAAAAAACTCCAGAAGTTTTTCCCAGCTGGTTGTTGGTGATCTCTGCCTATAATACCCAATGCATGCGCTGGTCTATTTTCTTTATTTGGTGTACGAGTTGTGCCACAATAGTGGTAAGACAATTGAACATCTGTATTTGATGGTGTCTTTGAATGTCTAAGAACTTGTCAGATCGGAAATCAGTCATTTGTCTCAGTCCTCTCCTTGAGACTTATCTCAGCCAGCTGTTAAATACATAGTTTGCTGTAATCTTTTTTCTCAATTCTACTTTAATATTTCAGTGGAGGAGTATGAGAGCACAAATTTCACCTCTAAAAAGCTAAAATGAAAATTTCTATATCTTGAATAACCTAAAACTGCTGGGAGCAGATCATGCAATACCATATCCACATAAAAGGTATTTTTCCTGGTATTTGGATTGGAATGTGGGGTTCACACAAAAAATTCTTATAAATGTTCTTTAAATATTCTCAGTCTCAAGGAGTTCTTTCTAGTTTTGCTCTCTTGGGAAGTTTCCCTTGTAAGGTGGCTGAAAAAGCCAAGTAGCCATGCCTCATTACTTAGTGTGCTTTTAGAGACAAAAACTGAAGTTGGATCATGTCCTTGGATAAGACAGCTGAATTTCATTTCTGTCACTGGAAATCATGTGCACTTGTTAACCAAGGTAGCACTTGTTCCACAAGGCAAAAGTCGGGGTATAAATATGTCTTTCACCTTATAAATGGCTGAGAAACTTGGAAAACTGTCAGTTGATCCTGGTAAAGATTAAGTAAGTAAATGTTGAAAAATTGCTGGAAAATTTAATCCAAATTGTGCAGGCTTCAGAGTACAAAGTGATTCAGTTGAAATAAGTTTGAGAAAGTAGGAATGGAGGAGGACACCCAAACAAAATTTGGAGTGCAAAATCATAATGTTCCTAATTCTCCAAAAAGGTGAAAGAAATAGGCACCTATAAACCTGTCAAATTAATATTTATCACTAAAATAATGGGCAGCTATTTAGAGGGAAGGTGAATACTTAGAGTATCAAAATAGCCATAGGATAGGACCTAAGACTAAGTCATATTCTGCAGATCAACTTCTTTTTGCTAGTATTATTAAAAATACATTGTCTTGAAGGACACATAGCATTAAATAACTTTAATTCCTGAAGCATAAGACAAGCAAAAGATAAACCTAATGGAAAAAAGACTGTATTTAGAGGATTTTGAAAAAGTAAGAAGTATACCATTGTGATTAGAATTGGTGAGAGCTTTATTGTGTAATATAGAATGTTGTATATCAGAGAAAAAGCCACCTTATCATCAGCTTTCCTGTAATCATGTTGGGAGTGGGACATTGTAAACTTTTCCTGGAATATATTGACAAATTGCAGGCAGATTTATATTTTAAGTACCCCAAACACACACCAAAAAAATCCCCAGAAAACCCCAAGGACAGGGGGAGCAGGGTAAAAAGCTCTAGAAGTTAAACAAATTCAACCTGAAAGAGTTGGAAGCATGATGATCCATTTTAAATGTATGACACATGTAAGGAACTTAAAAGATTAATGGAATGCGTAATCCTGCCTGTAGTTTTGATTTCAGAGTAGTCATGTTTCTACCATTCCTTTATTTACTTGTATTCTTTATTTTTTAATAGTACAGAACAAGCTAAGTATAACTAAAATAAGCCTAAGAAGGTCTAGTTCAACGTCCTGCGGAAAATAGTGGAATGCCACTGGTTCCAAAAGGTTCATAAGCACTGAAAGGAGTGATCAAATTGTTACTAAAGCATCCTGTTTTTTGTTGTTAGTGCTGCAGCAATCAGGTATCCTGTGCTCAGGTTACCCAGAAGCTAAGGATGAAGGATGTGGAAGAAGCATTCAGTGCATGAGCTGGCAGATACTCATGGATAATCAACAGCAGAGAGAGGTTTACAAAAGGAAAACAAAATGGACTGAAAACCCCCTAAACTTTCAGCTCTCATTCATGACTGTCTTAGAAGGAAGAAATATTCCTGTTAATTATTCTAGCCATTAAAACTGTGCTGAATTATAGATTGCTTAGTTTACAACAGGCTGGGAAGAGCCTCTCTTTCTCAGTGTAAGGAGCTACATTTAAATGAGAGTTCCTGGAAAAGGTGATGACCGCGTTTCAGTTACTTCTGCTCCAAAACATCCTGGCCACACTGTCAGAGCTCTTGGAGATTATTTATCCACTGTTTGGCTGTTTCCTGAGATTGTCCCCATAGTCTGAATATTCAGGAGCTAACAGTAGCTTTTGACCCACACTTCCTGTAAAGATATTCAGGTCACCGCTTTGAGATGATAAAATATTGTCCATGCATCCCTTTGGCTCTGGCTCGCAGCTTTTTAGAGAGCGCTGATACATCTCCCACTCTCAGCAGCGGCTGCAGCTAATTGGGACATACATTAGTATTTTGCAGCTTACAGTTCTGCTCCCTTCTTATGATCTGCCTCGTGGAATGTCCTTGCTTTCACTTTGCTTTGAATTGTAAATAGTAGAGGTTAAGTAGAAGTTAAATCTATTTCAGGTGGAGGTGTTGCCTGTACTGGAAATTGTCTGGGGAGTAGTTTACTATCATTTAAGGGAATAATGTGTGATCTGATGACTCAGGGTGTTCTTGTTAAACTTCAGCAGGATTTTGATGACCTAAAGGTACTTTGGGACTCCACTTTGACCTTTATGTGAGTGATGAAGTTGATCTCAGCTTCTTTTTATTTTGATGGGGTGATTATCATCTCTCCTTGCTGAAGCACTTGTCACCTGTGGATGTTGTATCTCCACATGGAAATGAGTGATGTGGCACATGAAGGGGTACACTGAAACTTCTTGATAGTTTTAGCTACTGCAGGTCACAGCAACCCAATGTTTATGTGAGTTGAGCAGAAGGAAGACGTGGCAATGCTGCTGCATAGACTGTACAGCTTCTCTATTATCCTTCAGAGGCAGCTCTGAATTATAGTATCTTTATTTTTAAACCTATTAATGTTTCCCAAGGTCTTCTGAACAGACCATCTTCATTTCCTTGCTGTGTTTCACAGAGGTGAATTATGGGGATAATCCTAATTTTATTGAATCAAGTGGAGAGTCTGAGACATATCCAGACACATAGAACTGCTTCGGTACAAAAGCTTTCTAATGCTGCTTCACCAGCCACTTCAAGCATTACCTTGTATTTTTCTTTTAGAAAATATTTCTGTTTATTTCACTAAGAGCTTTTAAAGGCTCCAGCTGATCACAGGGAGCCAGACAGAAGCCATAGCTAAAGATGGGGGAGAGTCAGTAACTGCTGACTTAGCTAAAATTACTATGAACAGATGGTTTGACTGTAAGGAATTATGCCATCACCTAGACTTTATTAGTGAAAGAATAAAAGGAAATGCAAATATAACTAGACTTTTTTTTTCTTTTTGCTAAGCTGTGATCTTCAAAATTGTAATATATTTTCCTGTGCTGTCTGCAAATACTTATAAGCAGTGAATGAGTTCTTTGCAAAGTCAAGTTAATGTCTGCCATTTTATACTGCAGTGAAAATCTAGAAGAATTACCAAGTAAGCTCATTTTTTTCCAGGGGTTTGAGAAACATATTCCAATGTAGAAGCCCAAAGACTTTAATTCTGAAAGTTGGGTTCATAAAAGATAATTGCAAGGATCAGATTAAGGACCTGGGGTTGTGGGTTTGTACTTCATTTTGTCCATTTTGGATGAGATTTGTGGAATCTGTCTGATTCATGTATATGGTAATAGAGTTATAATATGAAAATATCCACCATTTGATGCCTTTGCATTTCATTGACAGGGAAGCATCAGTTCCTGGATGCTCCCAAGCCTATAAAACAGTACCTGAATAAATGAAACCTCATTTCCATTTTAAGAATGAGCAGCAGGGTTATAGCAATTCTTGCTTTAATTTTTCAAAGTATTTGCAGCAGACATTAGGCACTCACACCATTTTGAAGCTTTTAATCTGTTTTTGCTTACTACTGCATTGGACACAGGTAGATTTTAGATGGAGCATTGAGTATTGATTTATCTGGACCCATAGTTCTGTTTACAAGGCTAAAGAACATTTCAGAAATTTTGAAACTATATGAGTTTCTTTCCTCCTTGGTATGACTTTGTAGAAAAGACTACCCAGACATCCAGCTGTATCAAGGATTTTCTTTAAATGCTTGGCAATATACATCGGCAATTATTTGTATTTTTGCATGATAAGGATTTTAGGGACTGTCCAGTGTATGTCTCCTTCCAGAAGAGTCGAGGAACTGTCCCCTTCTCAGTCTGAAAGTACCATCTGAACTGAGGAATAATCTCAACTCTGCTTCTAGGTAGAATCACAGCATAATCAAGTTTGGAGGGGCTAGGTTGTCTAGACCCTCATCCTGATAAAAGCAGGTCAAGCTACACCAGGTAGGTCAGGACAGTGTCCAGTCAAGTCTCACAGCACTTCATCTGCAGTGTGGCAAATGCCAGATACAGGAGAAGGATTTCAGCCCTCAGACAGCTGCTTATGCTCTTGCTGAGTCTGTGGAGAATGAGCTTTGCCTTTTCTGCTTCAAGTTTGATAGTTATGAAGGTGCAAAACATCATGAAGCGGACTAAAGTCTTTCACTTTTACAGAAATGGTTTTAAAACTTTAGTCTTTCAGCTATTTCACATCTTGAGGCTTGGATTTTGATATTTTGTATTGAGGACCCTACTAGACAAAAGTCTCTTAATCTTCTGAAGGTCAGGTGTATGACCACACCAG